AAAAACACAAAAGTCTGATCTACAACCAGTGTTTGGTTTGTCCGACTCCGTATGAAAGGCAACGAAAACACATTGATTATTTTCTGCTGATTAAACACTTATAAAAACCTACCTGTGAATATTATATTTCTGACAATAGATCCTCCTAATAAAGCACCAACATCTCAGACCAACAAAAAGGGGTGAGAACTTAAATAAAACTCACCGAAACCGTCTTTGTTGAACTTTAATTTGAATAAATTGTCACCATCACATTAAACGCAGTGTTTACAGGCTGAAATGACAAAGAAAATGTCTCATATCTGGACACATTTAGTCCAAACTATGAGCACAACGTCATCAACACAGTCTGTGGTTAACATGGCTCCATCTTTATATAACCACATTAGTCTGCATGTACACGCAGTAATGTTTGCAGGAGTGTATGTGACAGAGGATCTTTAGAGGCGAGGTCGGCCTGCTGTGGTTAATTTGCTCGACATGACCCAGTTATGTGGCATTTATGAGCTTTTTTTCTTTGTCTGTTTTGGCTTTATTTAACGTCTCTACAATCTGCGTTCTCCACTTTGCACAAATATTCAGTTTTAATTGGTGTGAATGTTTTCTTATTTGTGCCAGAGGACAGAAAATGAGAATAAGGCAGATGGCTTTCACTGGCTCATTTACAGTAATGCTGATTAATAATTACTGTCCCTTGAAAAACAACACGAAGCAGTGATTGTTAGTGATCAGTGATTGTTGTGTTTTTATGAATATATTGAATTTGTTTATAAAATATAAAGTTCAAGTACCAAGCTGATTTCTAAGGGACTGTATGCGAATTATTTGGGTGGGGACGGAGGATGTCACCAGTATTTTAAAAGTTATAAATATATACGACATTCACTTCTACTAGAGCACCAGCATCTTGTGGCGCTACCACCCACCAGACTCCACTGACAAAACCAGTCATTTTATCTCAAATAAAACACGCTTCAAACTGGACAGAAAGAAAATAAAACTCTGCCGTTAAAGTGCGTCTAACAGTAGTAGTTTGTTCCACTGACAGACTCAGGTTGTTATTGTCAGTGTCTGACAGCATTATGGAAAGGATCCCTACAGAGAGAGACCTTTAGTTTAACCACAAACAGCCGTAATATCACTATCACTCTCCACCAGACTCCAGAGACAAAAACACTCATTTTACCTTCAGATCATCGAAACTTCATTCAAAGTGAACAGAAACAGAATAAAACGTCTTTGTTAGTCTTTCTATTGTTCCAACAATCAACCTTTGCATTCTGCAAGGTAAAATTACTGATTTTATCAATGGAGTCTGGTGGAACTGGTGGTTTTGGAGAGGGCAATGTAACAACTTAAGTTAGAAAAGGCTGTCAGACATCGAGGTAAAGCGGTGAAAGTATTTTAAATATAGTGTAAACTTAAACTGATATTGATTTGTTTAGGTGATTTCAATTTGTTGTTGCTAACTGTCCCTTTAAGGAGCCATAATCAGCGAATCTTAAATATTCAAACCATTTAAAGGCCGTCTGAAGGTGTCTGACGTTTCTTCCCTCCTCCGGCCACCTTCCTGTGTTTGCATAACCATCCAACCTGAAAGGAAATATATTAAACAAACGGCGGCTGGAGATATTTTGCATAAAAGGCACACGAGCGACCGGATGAGAGCCGACGCCACGGCCAATCAAATGGACTCCTCGCAGCGTGAACCAAGATGAACTCAGGAGGAGGATTTGCTGAAGAAGACGTTCATCCTCTGGCCTGAATTTGAGCTGCAGCTTCTCAAATTGCAGAGATTATAACGGAGAACGTGTCTCTCACAGCTGGCAGCCAGAGCCAGTGCAGAGTGAGAAGAATAAAAAGTGTCTGTAAGATGAAACCTGCAGCTTTTACGATCCTCCCTGAGTGACTCACAGCTTCGGCTTTATTGGAAAACGGTTGACCTCCAACCCGACTGTTGTACGGAGGAAGGACAGCAGGCTGCAGTTTACACACTGACAGCTTCATGAGTCGGTGTAAGACTGAAAACGTAATGTTTGTGGCACTAGAGGAAACAATGTACGTGTTTTAATGTGCTGCAGAGATTTGCCTTTTTAATCATCCCAACAATATGTTTTGCATCAGAATTTGAACGCAATTGGTCCGACCGCGCGTTTTCCATCTGCGTCAGTTTGTTTTTAACATTTGTTGTACATACAACGCTCCAACGATTACCCATAACCCCCCTTGTCTGCATGCATCTTTGCTGAAATCTGATTCCTGTTTTGATTGCGCAAACGGTCGCTGCTGTTATCACTTACTCTTTCGGTTTCTCTGATGCTGATAAAATGCCTGTTTGACAGGGTTGAGATCTCTAAAATGAAGGAAAAAGAATGAAAGACGGACGTTATTTTCTGTTATTTAAAGTTTAGGTGAACTGAAAAATCTCATTTTAACCCTTTAAGGACACATCCTCATTTATATTGTTCCCATATTTAACAATGCTTGACAAAAAATACACAAAAACTTAATCAGAATCCAATCATTGTGTCTTCCTGTGAAACTAAATGTGACGCGTGCTTACGTCAACATGAACTAACTGATTTCAACCAATAATATCCTGACATTCACCCGTCAATCAATCTGCAACGTTTAGTGACACAGAGCGAAGACTATAGGTCCTCCTCAGTGTTGCACTGTGGAGCTTTAATGGTTGTTGTTGTAGGTGAGGGAGAGGTTGTTTCTTCATCAGCAGCTGCAGTGTGAAGCTGTTGATGGGGGATCTCAGGGGAGCTCCTTGTTTTTTCCTCAGTCCTGAACAATGCGGTGTGTAAAAGGGTAGCGCCGACGAAGCACCCCCCACCGATTGGCTAATCAGAGTGGATATCCTGCTCCCAGTTGTGGGCCGTTTCCATCTCCTGAGCATTAACACGCCACGAGGGATACCGTTTCATTCAAGATAGTTTGTCCCCTGCTGGTGGACGGTCCACTGGTTGGTCTGTTCTGTATGATGATCAACAGGAAGATCCTGGATAGTTTGATCTCTTCCAACCTCAATAAACCTGGCAGCGACCGATGGTTTGTTAAAAGTTTTGGAAAAGTTGCAGTGATTGGACAAAACTTAAAGGTCGAGTAGGGATTGGTCGAATTTGCGTTAATTCGCAATTTCCTGGAAGGACCGTATGCTTGGATCATCTGCGCTAACCTCTTTAGCAGCCGCTATCTTCGTCACAAACACCTTAAACCACGTCTGTAGCTCATTTTGTAGCTGCTACTATTAATGTGTAAATGAATGTTTAATTTAAAGGTATTTCAATATTGACCAAAAACCAATAATCTATAGTTACTGGTATTAAACTTAAATAACACCCTTCAGTTCTGCCAGCTCCCTCTGATAATGTCACTTTTAACAGCGGTCAGTTTACAACTCAAAAACACATTTTAGGGTCGAGTACCTTTTTAATATAATACAATCCTTTAATTCAATTATTAATTATTCTCTTAAAATCCACTTAAACTATACAGAATATACAACAGTTCATTATTAGCCCCTAAAAACGCCCTTCAAAGGTAAAACTCTTCTCTTTGATAACATTAAAATGCTCAGACTTCAGAAACCAGTGTGTATTACCAGACGGGCGGTGCGGCGGACCCTGCCGCAGGTTGTGTTTCCATGGTGATGTGCAGCCAGTTGTTGTGCCATCATCCTCTCGCTGTAAAACATCCTGCTGCTGCCCCGAGAGATAATGACAGAGCCATCAACCCCCGACATTACCGCTGACTGTACAGCGAGCAGGGAGAATAAACAGCAGCCATATGTTTACCCATTAAGTGGCGGATGTGTCACCGGGAATTACTGTTAATAGTTTGTGGATATTGAGCATTTAAGTCTGGGTAAATACTCACTGCTGATGTGGTTTGCACAGGGAAAAACAGGAAAACTTTATTCTGTGTGTGTGTGCTGAGCTGTGTGTGAGAGACTGAATCCCTCCGCGTCGGGAATCTGGCCTGGTTGAGCAGGAACGGAGTGAAATCTGAGAGGTTTTTCTTTTCTCTCTCGGTAATCATGTGAATGTGCTGCCAGCAGTCGTAGGTTGACGAACTGCAGCCGGGACCGAGTGAAAGGGATCTGGTTGATGCTGCTGTTAGTGGCCTTGGAGACTTGGACAGAGACACAGAGTCTGATTGGACGCTCAGTGACCTGATTACAGCAGAGATCACCTCGGGTACAGTGTGATATCATCTGGGCTTTGTTATCCGGGCTGGAGGAAGGCTTTGGCACAGAACAAGAGATGGAAAAATGAGAGTAAAACAACTTTTTGGCAAACGAAACAAACAGAGTTCTGAGCAGTTATGACAAATTCAGATTCATGTGGTTTGTTTTTTTTTGAGCATTTTGTTCTTTTTATGCAAATTCATCCTCCAGGAGTAGTTCAACATGTTGGGGAAACACACAGAATTACTCGTGTTAAAGGTCCAGTGTGTATCATTCAGGAATCTAATACAATATTCAAAGGTATGTTTTCATTAGTGTTTAATCACCTGAGAATCAGAATCGTAGTGTCCGATGAGCTGTTTGTATCTACAGAGGGAGCTCTTCAATGATTGTAATCCTACACACTGGACCTTTTTAAGAACAGAGCTGGAGTCTCACCATAGTTAGCCTAGTTTAGCATAAAGTTCAAGTACAGGGTCAGGTGTAGTACAGTGACGTCTGGTGCCTTTATTCACTGTAGCTTACATTACACGTACGTTAAACAGCGGCCTCCTGGGTGTTAATCCGATGATCCATCCACCTTCTGATTTATTTACTATAACTACTCGCTGCTTTAAAAATGAATGTAAACGTGGTTTATAATTAGCTGCTTCCTCAAACGATCTATACGGCCGTTCAATCAGTCTTTGAGTGCTGTGAACAACCTGTTGTGTTTGAGAGCTGGACTTCCTGGTTCATATTTCATCCTCTACCTGTAACAACACCCCCCCCCCCACTCATTCACTCTCTCTGTCGCCCCCTGCAGGTCAGGCCGAGGCCGAGCTGAAGGCGTTCAGTCCGTACTACAGGAAGCAGTTCTCCGTGGCTCGTTTCTCTCAGGTGGAAGATGATCTGGAGCAGAACAAAGAGAAAATCACACAGCTGCTCAAACAGCGGGTACGCATCGGAATCAGCAGTAACCTTTCCTAAGCCCCGCCCCTTTTAGGACCGCTGTCAACTTCCTCCTTCCCTGTACTTAGAGACAACCATACTTTGAAGATGGTTCAAAGATAAAAGTGACATATAAATAGTCACATCTGAACTTAGCTGATGTTAGTAAAACGCTAACTAACTCCACAAACAACCTTAACGGCAAAAGGTGGCAGCTAACCAAACGTTAGTTAGCTGGTTAGTTAGAAAGTTAACTAGTGTTTTGCTACAGAGTAAAACTCTAGTTAACTACCTAACTCGTAGATTATCGTAGATTATAGTTAGCTAGCATTTCTTTTTAACATTATATACATTCTGTTTATGTTACTTTTATCTTAACTTTAAAGTTGAAATATTCAGCAAGTAAGTTAGTTAATGTTAATTGTAAAAGCAACTTTATTGTCGGATACAATCACACACAGTACATTGCCTCTGGTGTACAAATCAAATACTTTGAACCAAATTAATCAACAACAATATAACTGTGTGTGTGTGTGTGTGTGTGTGTGTGTGTGTGTGTGTGTGTGTGTGTGTTGACCAGGTGGCGCCCGAGGACGGCGAGGTGCTGTACGAGGAGGCCGTCCTTTACTTTGACGACACCAGGAAATGGAGGGACCGCTACGTGGTGGTGAGAGCCAACTACAGCCTGGAGTGCCACGACAGCCTGGAGGTGAGCCGTCTGCCTGTCTCCCACAACAACAACAACAACAACAACAACAACAACAACAACAACAACAAGGACAATTTCACCTCCTCTGATTCCTAAAACCTCTTTCTTCTGTCGTCTTCCATCAGACCTTCGTTAAAGGAGTTCCTCCCCGCCAGAAGCTGCTGCCTACAGGGGGCACTGTTCTCACCACGGAGGAGAAGTACATGGCCATGGTGGACAAATGCTTCCCCGACGACACCAGTGAGTGATTCATAAATATTAGCTTTACAGTCTTAGAGATTCCCTGCAGGTATTGAATCACCTACAATTATCAGGATGAGTTCAGTCTCAAACGTGTGTTTTGGAAACAGACGGTAACCTCTGCAGGTTAGACGGGCGCCTTTACGTAAGGCTGTAATTTATCTGTTTTCACACAAACACGCTCTCTTAAAGGGAGTCTGGGAACTTTATTCACCTGTTTGTTAGATATTACAGGTAAGAAAGGATGTTAATAAAACTTCAACCCAAACTTTGTCATCTTAATCAGCAACATTATTAATATTATAAATAATTTGTTTCCCAAACTGACTCAACCAGGATTTCAGTCTTTTAGCTGTTGTCTCACTAGATATTTGATTTTATTTAAACACCTTTATCCGTGTTTAAGCCTCCAATCTCAACCTGACAGAAGAGAAACTTTAAGTGTTTCCCACTGTTTGAACAAGAAGCTCAGGTGGGAGAAAGGAGGAATTTAGTAAGAAAACACACAAAGCAGGACTGACGCACCGATTTAACCTCCACTTATATCACCTGTGCTCATTCTGAATATATAAAACTTGCAAAACACAGGTGTTTTGCTTGAACAGTGGAATATTCCTTTAATCACGTTTCACCGCCGTGTCTGGCTGTCAAACTGGTTTCCTCGGGCAGGTCTGAACAGGCTCCTGGACATATTTACTGTCCCCTCTCCCACAGAAAGACAAAGGTCTTCCTCCAGACCTGATCCCTGACCTGCATTAACCTGTGTCAACACACCTGATCCTACCTGGTGTCACTAACCAATGTTTCACACTCGACTGACGGCAGCAGGTCAGAAGCACGAGATAATGAATTAACTGGCTAATTAAATATCTAATTAGGGCTCTTTAGACACCATAGCTGGTTGTTGTTTCGTTGTCGCTGACTTTACTAAGATTTAATACTCGTGTATGTTTATAAAGAGAGTTTCCACCTGTATAACTCTATAAATGGTTCGTCCTACAAATCCTCGATGCAAGCGTCCGACTGAAACACAGAAGAGAGACTTACAGCAGTTGTTTCAGAAGCTCGTAGTGCTGCCGTCTGACCTCAGGGCCTTTTATCCAGCTTGAATGAGGTCAATGTCCCATCTGGTGTACTGGTTTATGAAGCAGAACTGGACCTGTAAGAGCCTGATCACATGACAGAGGTTATTCGTGCATCGACAGTCACAGACGGCGGCTCACAGCCACCGGCGCCACGAGGAGGACTCACAGTATTAATGCTTCGATGTGTGTAGTACACTACCCCATTGTAACCGACTGTATGTGTAATCCACACCAATAAATGGCCAACGTACTGGAGGCCCAGTTGTCTGCCGTTGGTTGCTTCAAGGTGTTGGCTGACCGGGTAATTTGTAAACAGTTTACTGAGCGACCACTGGTGGCGCTGTTAACAACAGTTAATGAAAGTTACATATTACAGCTTTAATATCTGACAGTTGTAACAATAGTTCACAGTTGAAACAAGATTTGTACGAAGTACTCGAGCTTCATCAGACGGCACATTATGTTTTCTGTTTCAGACGTGAAGGAGGACTTTGCGCCTCCTCTGTCGGGGATGCCGGGACAGTTTCCTGTCTACCTGCGTCTGCCCTACAGGAGGGACTCCTACTTCTGCTTCAGACAGCAGGCCAAACAGGCTGCGTTCCTCTCCATCCTGTCGGACTGCATCCGGCACCAGAACCAAGGTGAGACCTCAGAAATAGAAACAGATACAGGACACTTTCACTATTCTCTGTTATTTAAAGACAATGACTCGGTTAAATAGAAAAGAGCAGGAGGATTAATGGCTAATTAACACAATTGATAGTTATAGTGCTAATAAATAACAGTCCTCCAGCACTGTGATCACCTGCGATCAGCTGCTGCTCTCCATCAATGAGACCTACCGGGGGGGAACCGGTGTTTAACACTCGCAAGATAGATTTCTGTTTGTGCAGCATCACTTTCAACCACGTTCGACAGTTGCCATGACAACAGACTCACCACACCACCTCCAAGGAGAGGACGTTTTAATCTCGCCAATGCAGAGGAATGTCTGCAGCGTGCAGCCGAGCGAGTTGATGAAACGCTACGTTTAATTCGGCTGATAAATGTCGGATGGCGGCGCTCGATCACGGCGAGAGACTGAGGACGCCGTTTATGAGGTTAGGATGGCAGTTTATCTGTAACTAACTGTATGCTCCTTTTCTTCTCTGTCAGACTTCCTGAAGAAGAAGACGTGTGAGGTGCAGGCCTTCCTCAAAGCCATCCAGCTCTACAGGCAGGACAAAGGCAAATACGAGGCCTGGGACATGCTGAGAGGAAGTGACGTCAGGGTACGTCGTGTGTTTGGATCTTACACCAAAAACACAGTATTCCTCTAAAAGTCCTGTTTACATGCAGCTGGGCACACTCTGATTAACTCACTGAGAATGAGCTGTCAATCACAAGGTAGCCCCGCCCTAAAGCATACCCTGCTTTATGGTCTGTTTTACTCTAAATGGGACCATCAGTTACTAAATGAACATCATGCTGTATGGAAGAAGACTGAAACTAGAGACTGAGACCAGAAACTCATCAGGAAACTGTTTACTGAGGGAATAAATCAACTGAGACATTGACTCATTTCTCCATAAGACTGAATGGTATCAGAGTGGAGCTCCCCCTGCTGGCTGTTACACAGACTGCAGGTTAAAGACACTTCACAGACCCAAATGTGTCCATTATATAAACTGTCAATGAGACACAACCTCTCTTTCATTCGTCCAACCGCAGTCCTTTATAATGTTTATGAGGTTTTTCCTTTCCAACGCTGTAAACACCGACACATCCCTCATGTCCTAATCTGCTCCTAGGATCAGTCAGGAATATCTAAATGGAATATATTGATTCAATGAGGCTTAAATGTGGAATATTGTCATATTCGGAAAAATTTGTGTTCATGACAAACAGTCATTGGCAACAAACTGCTGCTCCTGGAGCCAATCAGACAAACCTGAACTGGATTAACAGGATTCATCTGCACCTGGAATAGATTAACATTTTTGGAAAATACAAGATGTCCGCACTTTGTGCCAGCACCGGAGACAGGTCTGGATCAAACCATTATCGTTGTGGTATGGGGGGGGGGGATGTTGGCTTGTTCCTTCAAACCAATCACAGTCGTCCCAGGATGCAGCGACGGCCTCGTCGTCAGCGAGCTCTTTCAAAGGGAAGAGAAGGAGAATTCTGACTGAAACAGTCGGCCAATGGCGGGCTTACACCCACTAGCCTAGCTTAGCATTAAGACTGGAAACAGCTAGCCTGTCTGTGTCCAGAAACACACACCTACCAACACCTGTAAAGCTCACGTGTGTCTCATTTGTTTAATCTGTACACTAACAGGAAACAAGGAACTACTTCTTGTTGAACAACAGCGTATCCATCCTCGTCTCCGGCTGCCAGATTTCTCTTTTAGAAGCTGAAAGTCGCAGCTCATCGTATAATAAATATAATATTAATATAATGATAATATAATAATAAATATAATATTAATATAATAATAATATAATAATAATATAATATTAATATAATAATAATATAATAAGCTGAAGTTCACAGAGGAAACAATAGAAAAGCCTCCTTTGTTTGCAGACTGCAGTGTGTTTGCATGATGGCAGGCGTGTTCAGAATCAGAGCGACGGCTCATTTGCATCCTCTGTTGTACTGAGAAAACACGGGAGGAGAGCCGCTCTTCATTCACTCCTCCTTACTCTCTTTCCTCCTCCTTTACTTCCTCTGCTCTCGCCCGTTTTCCTCCCCGCTCCCTTTAAAGTGGAGCAGGAATATCCTCCCACACGGCGACGGCAGATACCCTCCATTGTGTTGTTGTTCGCTCACATTGTGTTTTGTGTTCAAAATTAGTCGGAAGGTGAAAGGAAGTCTGACTGCAGGAACACACACACACACACACACACACACACACACACACACACACACACACACACACACACACCATTTAAATTCCATTTGTTTTAGCAATAATCAGACATTTCCTGTTTTCTCTGCTTTGAGCATGCAGTGAATACACATGTAGTAAAAATACATAGCGAAGTACTCGTCACTCACCAGCATTTTCCTCCCTGCACATAGCTTTAGTCTGACACACACACACACACACACACACACCTACGAGTCAGAGCTGAGAAATGAAAGGAATGAATGAAATGTTGGAAGCAGAAACAACAGTTTAACCACAGCTGCTCAAACATATATCTGTTAAACTGACAGAAGGTGTGTGTGTGTGTGTGTGTGTGTGCACGCGTGTGCATGTGCGTGTGCGCGTGCGGTGCCACTGAATCCTGCACCCTGGTCCTTTTAAACCTGATATTTCAGTCAATAATAAATAGATTTGGTCCATCTGGCCCTGCACACTTTGGGGTTTTGGTGTAATCTTGACAGTTTAAAAAAATCAAGTGAATGAAAATAATAAATCCAGTCCTGTTTTGTAGGTGATGGCCAACCTGGTGATGGAGCAACTGCTGCCGTCTCTGGAGAAAGACATGCTGCCTCATCTCAAAGCCAAGAAGACGGAGAGGAAGAGAGTCTGGTTTGCTGTGAGTCAAACTCTCCCTGGATCAATTAATCTGCTCCAGAAATCTGCTGGAATCTATTGATTTATAACTGATTTATGCTGCTGTTTCCCCGTTAATGGTATATGAAGAGCTTTTTAAAGCCCAAGCAGAACTCCGGAGGCCTAAAGCGGCCATTATCATAAACAAATAAATGAATTAATTACTTTAAAAGCCTCCATTATAAATAAATGAGCAGGTTACTTTAAAGTAATAATAATATTCTCTATTTCCTGATCCATATGGGGGCAACTGAGAAAACGCCCCTCATTAACATATGGGTACATAAATATAAAAAATGAATAGATAGATTTATAAGATCGATCGATAGATAAATAAGTAGGGAAATGAATAAATAGGTAAATAAATATGCACAGAAATACACGTAAACTGAAGAGTATAAATTGTAAATATTTAAAACATTTTTATTTTCATTAAATTTTTAAAGTCATTAATTCATTTATTATAATGGCAGCTTTTGTCTTCCATATTTTTCTGCATTATATCTAGTGGAATATGATGATATAATAATATAAAAACAGTAAGAAATGTATTTTTGTGTTTGAATCCCTGTTTGTACCCAGACGGTGGAGGCGGCGTACATCCTGGTCCAGGAGCACCTCCTGGAGGGACTCTCCGCTCTGAAGGAGGAGTGTCGAATGTCGGTGCGGCAGCAGGAGGTGCTCATCCACTCCGACATGGACCAGATCCTCAACTGCAGACGGCAGCTGGAGGAAAAAGTCCGAGGTAACGTTCTTCTGTTACTGATTGATGCTCGGAGCCGTCCTCGGTGATGAATGTGAATGAAGCTGGCTCTGGGTAACAGATGGAAACATCCGGGGCCAGATGAGACTTTACTAAACCTATCATTCGTCTCTCCTCGGCAGCCAAAGTTTCAGAGCCAGCAGAGAAGCTGTGCTCCGAGTCGGTCCAGCCGTACCTGGGCTCGGTCCTGGAGGAGCTGATGGAGCCGGTCAGCTCTGGTTTCCAGGAGGGACGGACGCTGAGTGAGACGATGATGGACCAGGTGTGTCAGGACGTCCTGCTGCAAGAGAACAACGAGCAACTGAAGAAGGTTTGTTCAGAATAAATGTTTGACTGACAATGATCCTTTTGTTTCTATAGGCTGAATTTATTTTAACCCAGATATTCAATTGAAGGCTTCACTTAAAGGCGCCTAATAAACAGATTTATCCACCGTGATGAAAACCTAATAAATAAAATATTGCCCTTCACACTGATTGCAGCTCACATTTTTATATTTTACATAAAACTAAATATTGTTAAGGCAAAGTTTAGACAGCAGAGTCACTATATGAACTCGATAATATCTCACTGGAAACCAAAAATTATCAATGGTTGGAGAGAGAAACTAAACTAATGTGAACAATTCAGTGTTTGTAGTCAGCTGTGAACTCTGGAGGAGACACAGAAACCTGCGAGTTACATTTTGTCATTTTAGGCCCCGATTAGTGGGCGTTATACAGCTGTATAGTTCATCTCTCTCTCTCTCTCTCTCTCTCTCTCTCTCTCTCTCTCTCTCTCTCTCTCAGGCTCTTGCTGACATGGCGAGACCGGACCTGCTGAGCTGCTACCAGAAGATCGGCTCCCTGCAGGAGAAACTGCAGCACCTGCAGGATCGGTTCGGTTTCTCAAACATCTCACGAGTGATCCACAGCGCTCAGATCGACCTGCAGCAGGTACACACACACACACACACACACACACTCAGACAGAGTGGGCGGAGGGATTTCATCAACCGACATTTATGACACACTTGTGATTGTAACGTATGTTTCCTTCGGTTCGCTGACTCAGCATTAATCTCCCAGCTGTGTGAACACACCATGAATCAGTGGATATTTCACACTGATGGGATTTCCAGATGTTTGCAGGATGTTGTTTTTCCCTTAAACAGCCGCCTGACCTCATCCTGTGTGTGTGTGTGTGTGTGTGTGTGTGTGTGTGTGTGTGTGTGTGTGTGTGTCAGCTGATGGAGAATGCAGCTTACACGTTTGAGCAGCTGCTCCACAAAGCCGTCAAGGACAACCCCGACAACGCCAGCTCCGCCATTGAAAAGGCCAAACACAGAGTGCTGAAGGTCAGATTGATGAGTTAGACTCGTTCATTCAGTTCCTCCAGAACTTCACTGCCTTTAATTCGGGTTGTTACGGCCTAAAGTTCCTGATTTCACAGCAGCTATTGTTTATTCCAACTTTATTTTTATCTTATTTGTGAATAAACAGTAAATTCATCAGATCCGGAGCCCCATATCACTATTCTCCTGGTTCCACCTAAAGTAGGCTGAATAATGATAAACAGCACAGCAATGTCTCTCTACCACCACCTGCTGGTCTGTAGGCTGTACAGCTACTGAGACACACACATTTACAGATCTGCCACACCAGAAGTGAAGCAAAACTCATGTATAAAAAGAGCCAACTGAGAGTCCCTGAGGCCTACATGTACAGATCTATGTACACATATGTGTTTGGGTTAGTTATTGTCTCATTAAAGTTCAGCTCTGGAAGTAAAACCTAGTTGATTTGTGTACCTGAGCTCTCTCTCACACACACACACACACACACACACACACACACACACACACACACACACACACACACACACAGTGACACAAGTGAACGAGTGAATCCTCACTGATCTGGTTTGTTTGCAGCAATATGATTACGACAGCAGCACGGTGAGGAAGAGGATCTCCCAGGAGGCTCTCGTTTCCATCACTCTGCCCTTTCTAAAGAAGAACCTGGCCCCCACCTGCAAGACCGTGAGTCCCCCCCCACACACACACACACAGTATAAGCTCATAGATTTATCCCGTTTTTACTTTTACAGCTTCAGTATGAACACTTTATTAAATGAATAATGATAATATTTTTGTGTGGAGTTTATCTTTGTGTTACTGCTCTTGGCTCAGCGTCCTCTAACAGCCCTGCCAGATGATTCAAGCTCTGACTTGATGAAAAAAATGTCGATACGTTCGTTACGATGCTCTAAGTAGCAGAAGGGAAGTTTGATGCCCTCAGTTTTGCCTATAAGGGGGCATACATGTTGCTCTAACCCCCTTATTGGTGGAGGTTGTTGGTCACACACAGCCTGATACAGAGGCTACGTTCACACTGCTCAGTGTTGTTTAGGGTTAATGCTCACAGTGTGAACAGCCAACGTTCTGCAGGGCGGAAACTAAATATTCCAACTCCCCTGTACGAGTTTGGGAAATAAATATTTTAAAGTGTGAAAAATGTAAAAAGGAACTGGAATTAAACGGGAATCAAAGCGAGTTTATTGTAAAGCTGCAAATACACAATCTGTGATTGATTCAGTGATATGTAAGATTGAGTGGGGTTAAAACACACACACACACACACACACACACACACACACACACACACACACTGACCTCTGACCCTGGTCTGTCTCTCCCCCGTTCAGGAGCTTCAGGGTCTTGATCAGTTCATCTTCGCCGACCACTCCAACTTCATCCACATAGAGAATGTTTACGAGAGCATCCTGCTGCAAACCTTGGACAAGGAGGTCACCAAAGGTACGACGCACACACACACACACACACACACACACACACACACACACACACACACACACACACACACACACACACACACACACACACACACACAAGCTCTAACAAGCCCTTCCTGTTTTCTCTCCGCAGTGGTGAAGGAGGCGGCGAGCCTGAAGAAGTACAACCTGTTCACAGACAGCAGAGACCTGCTCAGTCAGTCCAGCCGCTCCAGCCTCTCGTCCCCGTCCGTCTCCACACCGAGCAGCCCCGCCATGGCGCTCGCCTCTCCCCAGAAAACCTCCCAGCCCCCGTCTCCCCTCGCGGTCAACGGTCCGTCGGTCACACCCCAGAAGGAAGAGCAGCGGGAGGGAGTGAACGGCGTGCTGCAGGGGGAAGCCTCGACGGACGTAGTGGTAATCGAGACGCCGCTGGGGGCGGTTGAACAGAAAGAGGCGGCTCAGAGCGTCGCTGTCAGTCAGGAGGCGGAGCTACCGGCAGCCCCAGAAGAAGAGGTTTTCCAAACTGTGAAGGCGGAGGAAGCTTTACCAGATACAACCAACCAGGAACAGGAAGTGAATGTGGAAGCAGCTCCAGAGACGGTGATCCAACAGGAAGCTGAACCTCAGATTCAGAACAAGGCCGCTCCAGAAGAAGCAGAAACCCCCACTGATGTAGAAAGTCTACAGACAGCAGCACAGATAGAAGCTCCAGGACCCGGTCCTGAGTCTCCAAAGGAACCAGAACCAGGCCCCCAGTCTCCAAAGGAACCAGAACCAGCCCCCGAGTGTCCAAACGAAACAGTACCAGGTCCAGACTCTCCAAACGAACCAGAACCAGGTCTCGAGTCTCCAAACGAAACAGTACCAGGTCCTGATCCGCCACATGAACCCGTAAACACTTCAGCAGAAGGTACTGGGTCCCAGACTGTAGCCAGTGGTGAAGAAGAGTCCCACTGTGGGAGCTCAGAAATCAAGTTAGCGGCTCCCTCTAGTGGTCCAACACCAGCACTCACACCCCCAGAAGTCAGCCTTGACCTGGAGGAAGCAGAACCAGCTTCTGTCTCAGAACCTAATTCTCTGGATGTGTCGGTAGGAAGTGAGTCGGCGCCGTCGGACATAGAGTCCATAGAGGAAGTCAAAGTGACAGGGAACAGCGAGGACGAAGTCTCGACGACCTCTGACGTTCTGGAGGACGAGGCCAACCTCGTTAAATCCCCCGTGAGCTCAGAGGAACCCGCAGAGAACCAAACCGTGAGCGACGAGTTGTCTCCCGAGGCGCGGGCGGAGGCTGAGAGCGCCGCCGTGGATCGGGACATCGAGGCGGGTGCGAGCGTGGAGGTGGAGGTGGCGGCGGAGGCTACGAGCCCTTCTGAGCCCGCCAAAGAGGAAAACCCGTCCAGCCCTGAAGTCCAACCCCTGGACTCCATCAGGGAGATCCGTGACCTGGTGGTGGAAGTGTTCGAGGTGGAGGAGCTGGTGCAGCGTTACCCGAGTGGAATTCCAACGGAGGAATGAAGCATCGACTGTTTCTGTTGACGGAGCTTCGATCTCTGGACGCTGCCTCAGATTGTCCTGAAGTTAAAATACGAACGGAAACAAACTTTCACAGAAGCTTCCACAAACTCTTTCACACACATATGCATGAAATTACAGTAAACTATTTATACAAATCATTTACACAAGTCAACATGTTAACAGTGTATAAAAAGCATCGGGTCTCATTCGTTCAGCGACTCTGACAGGATTTTATTTTTTATTTTAGCACCAAATTGTTTTAGAAAATCTAGATTTTGAACTATTTTATTAAGATTGTGAAGAAATGTCTTGGAAAAGAATCTATTTTCTTTCTTTCTGGGAGGATGTCGTGGAAGGACCTGGTTAGCCTAGCTTAGCATAGAGACTGGAAGCAGAGGGGACCTGTAGCCTGGCACAAATCAGTGGATTATTATAACTGACATATAAGCAGCATGTTGTCACCCAGTTGTTTCTTTACGATGCCCAATTCATTCAAATCATATTCTATAAACCCATCAGATGTTTTACTCTCTGTTTCTCTCAGGAGGACAAACAGGAACAATTTATTGATCGTAATTGATCTAGTTTGCTGGAATGACTATAAGACTTTATTATCTTCAGACGGGCTTCCTTAAGTCCTCTCACACTGGGGCTCTGTGATCTACACGTGAACTTACTGACAGAGCTAGGCTAGCTGTTTCCCCCTGCTTCCAGTCTCTATGCTAAGCTAGGCTAACCACCTCCCGACTCCAGCTCTGTGTGATTGACATCCATCCGACTCTCGGTATCCTGGCAACCTCTCAGTTGGTAGAAGCGACACAGGCGGGAACAGGATGAGTACTTACAGATCAACAGTGAAAATATGTTTCTGAAAACATAGATTAGCCTAGCACGTAGCATATCTAAGTACAGGAAGGAGGAAGTTGACTGAGCCTTGCTCAACTGTGATTGGAGCAGAGAGCATTAAGGGGCGGGGCTTAGGAAGGATCAATTGATTTCTCATTAATGGTTTTTTTGGGACCTAGAGAAGGATTTTAACTGAAGTAGCTTATCAAAGTGCCTTTATCGTACCTCCGCGTCGCCTCTATGTGCCTTAAATCTCACGGTGACAGAAACACACCTCGGTTGCCGTAGAGACCGGTCCGAGTCCGAACACCTGTGCTGGAGCGTCACCTCCACCAAGTGCCTTTCACCTGCGTACAACATCTCATACAGACACGGTTAGTCGGACAGTTGGACCATAAACCGTCCAGCAGATGAATGTCGGTTAACGGAGACATTGTGTGCAAACATTAATAATAAAATAAGAGTCTATAAACAAACATGCCCTCTAACTATCTCTGTGTGAACTCTGGTTTCAATGTTGGGGAAACAATACAAACAATAAATGCTTTTATTTGCCAATAAAACACATACAGCATGATGCTTTGATTATTTATTTATGCTCCACAAGGTTTGTGTAACCAATCACAGACACACTGTACGGAGAAATATCAAAAAACCTGCGAGTAATCCAACATCTGTGACGGATTAAATACTAAATACAGTTTGACTACAATAATATTCCTCCCATTTATTTGATATATTGCACCACAGAACGAGTATCTCGTGTTTCAGCAGGCGAGCGGCGCTTCAGGCACATCAAGGACAAGATCATGAATAATAAAAAAAAAAAGATGCAGCAGATTCTTTAACATTTTGTTCATATTTAAAACACATTTTTCAAGATAAGACGATAAAAGGCTGTTAACATTTCTTCTTAAATTACATTCACACAAATAAAGACGAATGACATCTTAATCCTCGACTGCAGAGCTTCCAGTGACAGACTGTGTGTGTGTGTGTAAAGAAACCAAGGGTCACTCTTCACTTTATGGTCCATAATGTTCTCATTATCTTCCTGGAAGGAACTGTGTAATTTGGTATTTATTATTGTTAAAACAGTGACAGATATTTGAGTCGAGTCAGTTGTGTGCAGTTTGTAAACGGTTGTAGATTTCCAGATTAATTTCCTTGAAAGAAAAAGCTCCATTTAAAGACATCCAATGCAGGACTGACTCATACAGACAGAACCTCTCTATGACCCAACTACAAGTGTGCGTCTGCAGTCCTCGTCTGTAGTTTCTTATTCTGTGTTCAGTTTTATTTCTGCTTCACTGCTTTGTTCTTACTAACGTTGCTCCCTCTCCTCACTCGTTTCCTTACGTAGCTCGACCAAAAGGTTCTCTCTGGAGCCGGTGCAGATCCTGCAGAGCCTTTAATGTTTATTCATTGCTCATTTAGTATTTGAAGTTTATGCTTTCCTGGAGTTTGCAAACTGAGTCAACCTGCTGTTCACTGACTAAGAGACTGTTAAATGTGTACCAATTAAACACTCCAAACCAAATTACATTACAGCGAGATAATTAAGGAAATATAGACCCGTAACATAAAGTGATAAAAAGAAATCTCTAATGCAACTACATGTTGCATAATGCATAACTCAGTGGTTTCAACCCGTGGTAGGAACCCCTGCAGGCGACCCGAGATCAATCTCAGAGGTCACAAGATTATTAAAGGGATAATATAGAAAGTACTGGATATTCTCTCTCTCTCTCTCTCGCTCTATATACGACCTCTTTGGGCCATCCATCAAATCAAACAATCTTTTGTTTTGGTTGGAGACTTTTACCTGTGATGAGTAACAACAGATTCTATAAATATATAGTTTGTGTTAAAGGAAAAGTCTGGTGATATTCTCCAGTTCTCCTCCTGTAAATAAATCCCTGAAGATCTCGCTGTTCTACAGATGTATTGGTTGTCAGTCTTATAAATAAAGAGGAGAAAACATGTAGTCTTCTGATATCAGGTTGAACAAACCTTGGCAACAATCAGGAGTCATAAAATCAGATTTCTGAACATTCAGGAATATCTAAGCACCTATTTGGCAGCCATTTTGAGAACTGGTCATAAGATATGAATCTACATCTGTGCCAAATGTGCTGCTTTTATTGCAAAATGCCCAGTTGTTATGTTTTACTGGGCCACTAGTGGGAGCCGGTGAGCTCGGCGCTGAGAGCCACAGACAGTACTGAGAGGGACTACGGTCGGTTCGGGTCTGCACAGATTTAAAGACAAGAACAAAACCTATAATAAGAATAACACCAGACTTATCTTCCAGAACTCACTCATTCATTTTGCGGTTTTCCTTTTTAGGCAGGCTGGTAAAAAAAATAGAAACATTCGGCTGTAAAACAGTTTATCATCAGAAAATACTAACACCTCTAAAGTCACCTCTAAACTGTTTACACAAAGTCACCTGAATCAAACTGAAATCTAACGCTGAACACAAAATAGAAGTTTAAAGTTTGAATGACTTTCACTTTTCTTCACTTGTTCCCTGCGCAGGTTCCTTGTTTCAGGAATTGTCCCTGAATGAGTTTATTCAAATAAGACCGATTACATTTGCTGCTTTAACATCAAGAAAAAGACTCGATTCTAGGAATTCTGACTAAAAACTTCACATTGTTTGACTACGAGATGATTCACTGCAGTGATGCATAAAGAACAGACTTTAGTAGCACACAGTGAACAACAGGGACAAGTCTGTAGTGTGTAGTAGTAGTGAGAGAGTAAGGGGGTCCAGGTTTACCGGGAGGCGGTGCTGTAGTTGTAGAAAAACTGTTCGTCGGGCCGGAAGCCGTAGGCGCTGACGGGTCGATCGGCTGGGACGAAGTGCTCCGACACGCTGACGGGACAGAAGGAGAGAGAGAGATGGGAACAATGAATTACATACAGAGAGACTGAGGCTGTCCTAGATACGTGGACCATAAAGGAGGTTTCTGAGCAGCTTCAAGAACCGAAGAACTCTCCATCCAGTCACTGAAAAAGAACAGAAGCCACCTCACTATCCTTCCCTCTTCCAGTCCACACTCAGGCTCTGTTTTAAGCTAGAGTGAAGATACCACTCACATTAGAGTACATATAGAGTGGCATCATAAAACGAGATCATAACTCTGACCTTAAGATATCTAAATGAAAATGGGTTTTATGGGTTCCACGACTCTTCCCTCTGCAGCCATGCCCACTTTATGCTAATCCCATGCAGTTTTTTCACACGTGATAGAATTTATTTTCATGTATTTGAATATTTCTGCATACTGAGGTCCATAAACAGAACTGGAACTGCATCAATTGGGACTGTATAAGTCAGTGCTCCAGTCAATAGAGTGGACACGGCCCCGTAGACATACAGACAGAGACTGCTATAATAAATTTAGTGCGCCTTCAGTTTTTCCCAGTCTGGTGTGGAAGAACTTGACTGGTCCTGACCTCAACCGGACCTGATCCCCAGTGCTGGACCTCACTAACGTTATTGTGACTGAACAGGACTGGCTGGATTGATCGGTTGTCCACAGACATAGTGTGACACTACCAACCACTACCAGCAGGTGGAGCTCTGACACCAGCCATCTCTCGGGAAACCCCCCCACCCGAGGGCCAGGGCTGATCGCTCAGTCACAGCACTAGATGAAGAAAACTCATAAAAAGTTAATGTAATATTCATCTGCCCCGGTGCAGGTGTTGGACATCCACAATGAGTGTGTGAGTTACAGACTCATGGCTGGAGGGGTAAACAGACCATAAAAACCGGAGAGATGTCAAAACACGGCGGCGTGACGAGGGCGAGGGGCTGACGGCCAAACCTGGAGGACCTGGCTGCCCTCCGCCCGGTCGAGAGGGTTGGGGGGGGGGTGATAAAAGGCCTGTATCTACAGCGTATAAATCAGTTACTATGGGGATGTGGATACAGAGGGTGGGGGCCGATTTCACGCTCCATCTTCTGACCAGCTGCTGGGAGTTGGTGTCTGGCGGTGGAGGGCTCACGGCAACGGGGCCCGGGGCCCGGGGCCCGGGGCCGCCTCGTCAGGACGGAGCGGGTTTGATGGATAAACTGGGCTCTGATGGACGACGCAGCATCTCACACGTCTTTGTTGTCGGGGAGCGTTCGCTGCCTGCCGGCCTCGTCCTCTAAAATACGAGCTGTTTGCTTTGCCCCTGCGAGCGCCTATAATGACGTGTTGTTTTTAGCCAAATCACTTCCAGCGATCAGTTACACAGCTTGCAGCATATCCCCACTCCTCCTCTACCTCCTCCTCTCTGTTTTGCCTTTGCCCCCTGCTGCCCCCCCACCCCTCCACCTCCACCCCAACCACCATCTCCTCTCCCTCCTCCCTGGGCAGAAATATGTCTTTTTCCTCTCCGCACGCTACGGCTGTCAGGAGGGATTTGAGAGCCGGGCTAAAAGGAGGTTGGAGGAACACTGGAGCTCTGAGTCACACCATCCGCCTGCCTGCATGTTTCTGTGGCTGCCTGAAGGGTTACACCACAACCTGGTCCTCCAGGACTCATACAGGGCCAGTACAGGGCCAGTACAGGGCCAGTACAGGGCCAGTACAGGGCCAGTACAGGGCCAGTATGAGTCCTGATGTTCAGTCATAGTCCTTAAAAGGTGCAGGACAGGACAGCTTCTGATGGTGGGCAATATCTGTTTACCTCCATCACCATCAGTTCTTCTTATTGATCGTGGTTTGTTGCAGGGCTGCACAATTAATTGAACTAATAACTGAAGTTGCAATATGACCTAATGAGTCCTGTAGTGCTGCAGACTAATGTTGTTCCCCAGATGTAAGAAAACATGTTTGTTTATAGACCTTTATTATTTATACAGCACCTTTCAAAATCTGCTTTAGAGGGTTAAACAAAGCAATATTATTATTTTATTATATCCTGCAGCCATAGTTTGTAGTGTATGGAGGCCTGAAACTGCCAAAAATAAATAAATAAATTACTTAATAAATAAATATGCCATTAAATGCATTACAAATATTAATGTAGGCATCAATTTATTTATAAAATGTGACAAATATATTACAGATATTTATATTAATCATTTTAATCACCTACTTGTTTTTATTTTACTTTCCCATTTAATTTATATATATACATATATTATGAATTATCAGGATAATTTAAGTACAACTAATAAAATATCAGTCCATAATAATGATAATAATAATAATAATAATAATAATAATAATAATAATAATAATAATATCAGCAGCCTTACAGCTGTGGAATATTAAATTATTCATCACTCACTACATTTCAGCATTTCTTGTCATCAAGTGTGTAAAAACTACAGATTATGAACTTTTTAAAACATAAAAATGTGAAATCTTATCAGCATCGGCCATAAAAAATAATCCATTCTGTGCATCTCTAATGTTAACGAGCAACTGTCAGAAAACCTGCAGTGATTTATCAAAACTGATCAAATTATTTTACTTTTCATCAACAGGAACAAACACGGCCCAGAATCTAATCTTCATTTTGGTGTGAAGTGAACGAGCCGCAGTCAGAAGCAGATTCCTCCCGCAGGGCGAGAGACGCTTTGTGACGTAGCCGCTGTCAGCTGTGATATTTCTCTTTATGAAACATGCAAATCGACCCGTCTGCCACCTTATTCGCTCCACGTGTGTGTTGTGACACGCCGGCGAAATGAGGAGACGGCGGTTGGGGGTCACTGAGACAAGGGGCCCAGTGTTTCCCCCCACAAATGCCAGTTTGGCCCCAGAGGAGCGGCTGCAGGAGGCGGCGGCGGGCCGAGCGGCGGGGACACGTCCCATCCCGCAGAGAACATTCCTCGGTAGTGAACAGGAAAGGGAATCAGGCCCTTTTCCTCCTTCGGTGTGACCCTTCGCCCCCCCTGTGTCTGTCTCTTCCAGGGCCCCGGGCCAGGCCCCCGCTTTGATCTCTCCCCGCTGTCACTGCTCGGGTTACAGCTAACCAACACGCCGCCGCCGCCCCTCCCCACCTCCACCTCTCACCTGATTGTGAAGGCGTTCTCCTCCCTTTATTTTTACCTCACTTCACTCGCCGGCGCCCCGTCACGTCCTGACAGTCTCTCAAAGCGCTCATTGATTCTCCCGTTGGCGTGTTCACAGTCCTCCAGTCACACACCGTCCGTCTGTCACGCCTCTTCCTATTGGACGCCTCGCTCTACCTGACTGAAGCACTATTAAGACTTCTGGGAAATGTGTCCCTCTGTCCTCAAAATGTGGTACACTGAACCCGAACATTTCATATTTGGATATTAAGATCTGTTGTCAGGACATAAATGTGGTTATTAAGGACTGCGGGGATATTTTACAGCTGAAAAATGCTAAATTTGTCAAAAGTATTCCAGAAAGTGGAGTTTGATCCCAACTGGGACTTTTAAATGTCCGACCCGTCTCCATACTGTACTGGAAGGTCACTAAATTCACTAAAAACCACTCAAATATATAAAAATGTCTCACTCTGGGATGTTTAAGAAGATGTTAAGATGTTTAAAAAATTATTATGACGCATCGACCAATGTTTGTTTTTGATTAACATATTTTTTTGGAAGGACGAACTGAAAGAGACGATTTACAGTGTAAAAATAACTTTGTTAGTGTTTCTAAATAACCTCAAACATATTTTTTAAAGTCGCCCTCCAGTCAGAAATCTGGTTTCCTTCTTGTTCATTTGGATGATGTCTGTGCTGCTTCCTTCCCGATGCCGACAGATATTGTTCACAGAACATTGTTATTGTTTTTGTTTGTGGTTTTATTTATCAAAGATATTATTCTATTTTTTTTCATATTCCAATGTCTGAATATTTTTAACCCCCAAATTCAATCCAATACAGTATGGATCCGATATGTGTGCATTAACAAATAGAAATATAGGTTATTATTATTGAATATGCCAGTATGATTGCTACTGTTGTAAAAGAAAAGGCGAACTGGACGCAGGGCTTATAAATCACGTGGTATCAGACGGGTGCACAGACACGAGTACTGATATCAGAAGTATTTTATTAAGTACAGTTTGATGTACTTGCACGGTACTTGAGTATTTCCATTTCCCCGTCAGTGCTGATAGGCTACAGGGTTCCCACTCTTTAAATTAAAATCATATTCCAGGAGGTTTTTCTGGATAATACAGGACAGCAGTTGCTCACAAACATATAACTTCCCAGCAGGTCTAATATTGACAGATGTATCTTGATGAAGTGTGTTAGGTTCATTACAGGTATGTATTCAGTGTTTATGGGACATTCTGCTGCTGCAGTGTCCGATGAATCGACCACAGATTGAACTGTAACAAAAGATGTGAATAATTTCAGACAGACTATGCTCCACGGTGAGGGAGGGGATAAAATACAATTACAAAAATTTTCCAGGACAATGTTTTTTTTTATTTATTTGGTCATTTTAATCGATTTGCAGGCGTTTCCATGACTGCAAAACTAGTCTTTAAATTTCCAGGTTTTCCAGGGCGCGTGGGAGCACGTTGAGGCTACGATTTGTGACGTGTAACCAATCAGAAAGCGCCGTGGACGGGACATTGAGTCAGACTACAGACAGAGGCAGCTGCAGCAGATCCAAAGTAACGTATTTAAAAAAATTTAAATGTATGTCATCAAAATTGAATGGAAGCCCATTTGTGCCAATGTGAAAAAAAAGTCACTATAATGAGAAACCCTCAAAATATTGAAAAACCGTCTCATTATTATGAGATACAGAGTCAATATTTTAAGAAGGTTTCTCATCATAATGACTTACAGATTGGTAGAAATGGGATTCCATACAATAACGTTTCTGATAATCAGGAAAATTGATCTGATAATGGGTCTCTTCCCGTCTGCTTTCTGCACACACTGATACACTAAAATCAGCTGATGATGCCGGTCGTCTGGTATAAAAGCTCATTATGATGTTCACACAAATAACAGTGATTGTACAGTATTACGTCCGTTTTAAAAGGCCCCATTCACACCATGTTTCACACATAGTTTAAAATAAGCGCTGGAGCTGGCTTTGATTATTATGTTAACCTGGATCACTCAGAGTACAGCGGGCTAAATTAAAACAGTCTCACAGACGCCAATTCCCCCGGCGCTCTCGGTATATTCAAAAGGTTTCAGTTACAAAGCAGACAGAGGGAGAGAGAGAGAGAGCGACCGAAAGAGAGCAAACACAGACAATAAAGAAATGAGTGAAGGGATCACAGATCGGGATTCCTCATCTCGTCAGACCGACTGTGTCGTGGATTCAGTCACAGTCGACCTCTCAACAGCAGCCAAACCAAACATTCCTGCCGGCGAGGGGGGGGGGACGAACAAAAATCCATCGACACAAGCTTTATCGCACGCAAGGAGAAGTTTGATAATAAATAAGACAAATTACTCACAATAAACTCTCTATTTCCTCAACTATTCATCATCACAGCAGCAGATGGAATCGGCTGCCGCTCAGTATCGGGACCAAGAAACGGATTCAGAAGAAAGTCAACGTCCGTCGTAGTGATAACAGGATTGATTTTTAATTCCCAGGCTTCAGTTTCATGTTTCGCTGAGGAATGTCGGCGGCGTATTGGGAATAAAGTAGTTGATGTATTTGGAGCCACAGAGGAACGAGTGAGAGAGAAACAAGAACGTAGAGGCCGGAGAGTGTTTGTTCTCAAAGCTGGAGTATTGCTGTTGAGGGTGGAGCGATGCCTTCTGGGATCGGCGAGGCTTGTTGACTCAGGCCAGGCCTGGTTCAATAACACAGATCAGCGAATAGTGATTCAGAATAACAACACGAGAGGGTAAACACTCACAGTTTAGTGTTTCCTTTCTGACACAGCCAGTGATTCTGGACAAAGACAACCTGCCCTGCTGACAGCCGCCATCACACTCACACACTCAGTGTCTGAGAGCTGACTCAGTGTAATAACTATTACTGTTGGACGATAATTTGTCCCAGAAATAACTGCAATAAACAATATTATTGTCATTTTAAGACCATCTTATGCCACAGATATAATGTTAATTATGTAAATATACCCTTTCACATTATGTTTGGGGTGGTAAGTACCTGCTCATGTACCCAGTTGGTCCCAGCTCTCCGTTCTGGAAGTCGGTGTAGAACTCAGGACTGATGGCACCGTCTGCGGAGATGATCCCATCTGGATGAAACAAACACGGGTTAACAAACAAGAAACTTTGTGTCATCTCACTCTCAGATGGGCCCTACTGAGCGTGTTTGTATCAAATAATGAACTGCTCCTTTAAGTACCGGCGCTGTAGAACAGGTCGGGTCTCTCCATGATGTCTGCGTTCCCAATGAAGGACTCTCCGTCCTCGCCGTACAGGAAGGGCTCTCCCGCTTCATCCATCAGGCGGTTCTCCACCATCTCCAGCCACTGACCGTTGTACCAGCGGAACTTCTCGGTCTGGATCTTCTTTCCCCACTCCTCGTCGTATTCCTGCAGCGAAGAGAGAGTTGAGTGGAAGGACAGTAAACTGAATATGTTTGAGGATTTGTCATTTTTTCGTGGACCAAACAACTAATCAATTAATCGAGAAAAGTTAGTGGAAGTTTGAGTCAGATTATCTCTGTTTTTTGGGGAAACCTTTGGACTTTGGGGTTATTTTGTTGAATATAACTTAGATTTTGACTTTGTGTTTGTGTTCTTGTGAATTTAGTATCTATGTCATTCAGTGTAGGCTGTACATTTTGCTGTGTGTCCTTATGGGCAAAACACAAACAACCATTTTAAATGCTAAAAGGAGAGAGACCTGGCTGGCACCGTAAATAAAATCCAACTGTTACAACAGGATCAGCAATGTCAAGGCTGCCTGTAATAAACTTAATGGAAATCTGTTAAATATTTGAAGGGTAATTTCAATAAGAATAAGAGAGGAGGTGTGTGTGCAGGTACGTGCGACTGTGTGTCGTTTCCATCCTCCTCCGTCCAACCGGCCCGGCTGTTTGCGTGCGCAGCTCGGCGGACGACGACCACAGAGTTCTGTTTTCTTTTCTCTGCGGGGGCCGAAGGGGGAGCGATAAAGGCAGCCTTTGAGACTGCGACGGCCGGAAGATTAATCATTCAGATGCAAAGCAGAGCCCCGTGGGCACTGACAGCCACCCGAGGCCCCGGACTCAAACGGGCCTATTGACCATCACACACGGGGGGCCCCTCGCTCTCCGCCGCCACCACCTCAACGCCGGAGTGACAGCGACACATTTTTGACTCATCAGCGACGGAAATAGCATCATGACTCAAGCAATTAGGTTCTTATATTAGTTTAATGTGACTATTAGCGGCTGAGCTCATGACTCGGATGAGCTCATCGCAGCAGGGGTGAGGAAGTGCAACAACAGTTTTGGGAGCTTTTCAACATATTCCACTGGAAATATGGCCGGGCTAAGAATATCACTGTGAATTAGGCGTCTGTCCCACTTGGAGCATCTACAAAGTTCCTTGTGAAGCCATGTGTGTGTGTTTGTGTGTGTTTGTGTGTGTTTGTACACGAGCAGGGGCCACGATGATCAAAGGCGAACATTTCAGGACTGCACAGTTATGGCGTGTGCTGCCAAAAGGACCGCGCGCAGCCAAGCAGTAATGATTGTCTGTGTGTGTGTGTGTGTGTGTGTGTGTGTGTGCGTCCACGGCTCTGCTTTCTCTCTCACCTCTGCTGTCCAGCCGCTGACACACTCCAGAGCCCACCGGCTGCCTTTCATGTGGTTCACATCTTAATAGGTCTCACTGATAATTTCAATGAAACACTTCCTTTGCCCCGCTACACTGCCTGGCTATAATCTACAGCTAATTACGCTGATCTGAGGTCTGGCAGCGATCACACCGACTGGGAGCTGACCACACCTGTCAGTCAAAAAGACGACTCAGGAATTCATCGGTTAGTTAATCGCTGATGTCAAGTTTGACTCAGGCACATCGGGAGAATGTTTGACTGATTGATGAGGAGTGGGACAGGATGTGTAAGAACAATAAAACTATGTCAAGAGAAGCAAGGGTTTAAAGGTTATATATAAGATTTAAACATTAATATATCAGCAAACAGTTATTCTCTATATAAAGACACAGAGTCACATGGTGTCTCTCTCCCTCTGCCTGTGTTGTATCGCAGCCTCTCTGTGGTTTGTTTCCATAGCCGGTCTGCTCCGACTGAAACTGCTGTTTTTATCATCTACGTCGGTGAATTAAGGATTTATTTCCACCAAACCAGAGTTGGTGATTGTTGGAAACACTAACAGAGACACTTTTAATGAGTTTTATTCTGTTTCTGTCCACTTTGAATGAAGTTATGATGATCTGAAGGTAAAATGAGTGTTTCTGTCTCTGGAGTCTGGTGGAGAGTGATAGTGATATTACGGCTGTTTGTGGTTAAACTAAAGGTCTATCTCTGTAGGGATCCTTTCCATCAATGGGGTAAATGGGAGCCAATCTATCTGTATATGAAACCAAAAATATTACACTGCAATAAGTTTAGCAAATTCCTGTTTTTAATTTAAAAACAATTTTCTTTCTTTCTTGCAACCTTAATATTGAGTTTTAAAAGCTCATGCTTACTTTGAATTCGAGTGAGAAATGTAAAACCAGCAGGTGAAGTGTTGAAATGTTGTTTATGAGGATTATCTGGATACTCACAGCGATGATATCCAGCGTGTTTTCGCAGACTTTGCGGATCTCTGCGTTGTTATCGTGCATCAGGTCGATGAGATAAGCCGGCGCTTCTGAGATTGGGACTCAAGGAAAGAAAACGTTTCATCCTCTCTGGGCTCAATCAATCATATATCTGTCCTTAATCAATCAATCAAAAGGGGAGGAAAATGGGGATGTGGTGGTACAACGCTCCCCCTCAGACTTTCTGCCTCTCGCTCCCACAGCAGAGCTTAAATCAGATATTCACGTTTTATTCTTCTCACAGTCAGAAAAACATCAATCAGGACGCGCTGACAGAGAGCATATTTGTAATTTGACACAAGCCGCCAACCGACCACAAGTGCGTACAATTACAGGCAGCTCAGAATACCCAGAGGGTTAAAAAAACTAAATCAAGGGGTTAAATAGGTTGCTATGGAGATGCAGACGGGAATAAACAGCGATGAGAGATACATCCAGGGCGTTACTAGGAGTTACCATAAGGACATACACTAAAGACTGAAAATAGAGCACTGTTTTGTACTACTGTACAGCCAGTGTGTTAATGTATCTGAACTAATGGGACAGAAATGTCTGCAATACTTTAGAAATAAGCAAAAAGGATACGCGTGTCTTTGACGATGACGTCCCTGGTAGTTTTGTTAAAGACCATCTGGTAGAAGACGTAGATGATCTGACACACAAACTCGTCGTCCTTTTGTTGGGCTGAAATAAAAAAAGTGTACAATTCATTTTCAGGTTTCAGTGCAGAAAGGAAAAGTAGTCTTTTCACCTAGAAAATATAATAAATACTACCTTTTTCAAGTTATTTGTGAGGATATAAGTGTTTTTATCAAGATACAAGATAATATCGTCCCATTCATGATGATTTCTTTTGGATTGATGATTATGAACAACTTGAATTGTGCTTCAAGAAGGCAGAATATTTAGTTTAATATATAATAATAATAATAATAATAATAATAATAAATATAATATGTTTAATTTGTAATAGAATCATTTGATCATTGCAACTGTATTTTTATTTTTTATTTGGAGTTCAGTATTTTGCTCGAGGACACTTGCAGCAGGGGGAGCCGGGGATCGAACCACCAACCTTCTGATTAGTGGACGGCCCGTTCTACCTCCAGAGCTTGTTTGGGTCAAACTAAAGAAAAACTAGATCCTGTATTTCACAATCCTTTGGAAAGCTCCAACAGAGCCACAGGACGACATTATTTAGACATTATTATAAATTACAATCAACATTAGAACTTAAATGATGTAAGAGCAACCAGAAACTGGACTACAACCGTAGTAGATGTGGTTCTTACCATTGAGCAGCTCAATGAGAGCGGGAATGATGCCAGACTTGGCCAGCATGGCTGCGCAAGAGTCATCCATGGACACGGTGCCAATCATGATCACCACCTCCAGGATGAGATCATCCTCAGCAGAACCTGACATCAGGGAAAAGTATGAGCTGAGTGGATGACTGGCAAAGAAAACTCAGTTGATCCTGTAAAACATTTGGCCTCTGAACACAAGCGTGCTGCGCCAGGGAAAACATCCATGTTCTGTGACTGTATGGGCATACCACTGCGTGTGCATACAGAGCGGCAGGAGTTAGTGTCTTTATACCGACGCTGTCTGGAAAACTATTCTTGGAAAAATAAAGGTTATAAAACGTCTCTTTTCTACTCGTGTCTGAAGACATATATTTTGTTTTAAAGAATCCCCAGTGGCTCGTTTTAAAGGTCAATAAACTCATCAGCCCTTTTCTTCTGAGGAACTGGTTCTGATAGAGTTCTTTAAGGGTTCGGTGGTGGATGGAAGAGGGCTGCGAGTTTCTTAGGATCTCTTTGTGTAATCAATCAATTCTCAAACTAAAACACCATCACCAAACACTGAAGGAATCTTAACTGGGAGAAGCTGACTGCAATGACGGTGAAGACAACAACTCCCATCTCATATTGTACGTTTAAATAACCTAAAGCTATTCCTCTAGACTTTAAATTTTGCTTTAATAAAGACAAAAAGGGAAACTGAAGGTTAGGAGGTCAATGGTCATTGAAGGTAAAGATAAGGCCCGGACCCTAATGAGGGTTCTCTGTCCTCATATCATCCAGGACCACTGACATCTCACTGATAGTGTGATTTAGGGGAGTAGTCAGAGGTTAAGACAGGGCATGGGAGAGACCTGGTCTCTGGTTTCAAAGGGAGATAGATGAGAGATCCTGGTGGAGGATGTATGGATCATTACTGCGTGGGTTTAAAAGATATTAGCAGAAACATTTCCTCAGATGGTGCAGCTGATTAAGATCTGCGCAGCCAGTACTTCACACACACACACACACACACACACACACACACACACACACACACACACACACACACACACACACACACACACCCTGGTTTGAGTCTGTCCTTCAGGTAGGACACCAGGTTGTACTCCTTGAGAACCAGCGCCCAGTCCAGGTCGGCGATGGTCAGATTGGCCAGCGTGCCGAGACACTCGATCACAAACTCCTCAGCCTCCTCTTCACTGATCTGAGCTGCCAGGTCACCAACATGGTCCTACACAGGAACATAAATATAATAAATACAAACCCCCAAAAACATAATTCAACTAACAACTGCACATTTAGAGGCACCAGGAAGACCCGTATTGACTTTAATAGACCATGTACTGACCAGGAAGAGGCTCTTGGTGGGTCCGTTGTGTTGAGAAAGGTTTCTGATCATCTTCATCACTAAGACATCCTTCAGCTTTACAGCGCGCTTCATCAGCATCTTCAGACCATTACCTAGGGCAACGGGGAGAAAGGACGTAAGGAGGAACAGCAAATTTTAGACTTTAACAACGCAGGCTGGGATGAAAACGTGTCTGTCCATCATAGATTGTGTTGATCCTGTGTTTCGGGTTCATACCCTGACAGATGACCTGGGCATTGCTCTTGTTGGCAGCCAGGTTGATGCAGAGTGAGATGAGCTCAACATCCATCTTCTCCTCCGCTGAGTCAAACACCATCTTCATCAGCTGTCAAACACAGGTTACAAACATCAGTAAACTCAGATACAACCAACCAAAATACACATAATGAGTAGCCTAGTGAATACTGACAGCCAAAGTGCTCTCAGAGTGGAGGGAACTTATGTTTATGTAAATGTGCTGCAAGTTAAAACTTAAAGAGTGACAATTAGAGCATCTTGGTCAACCACATCTGCCCTTTTCTGAAGGGAGTTAAAAAGAGTGCATCCCTGCAATCTCCTCCTGTCACATTAAAGCCAGCAGCCATCGAGGGGTTGAACCCCCGGAGAGTGAAGGAGGGAGAGAGAGGGAGGAAAAGACTTTAGAAAATGATAAAATAGAGCAAGTGTGTGAGTTATAAAGTGAAAGACGGAGATAAAGGGAAGGCAAGCGTCGTTCCCTAACCTCATAAACACCCTCCTCCACTACCACCTCCTCCTCCTCGTCCTCCTCCCTCCCTCCCTCTGTCCGTCTCTCCTGCACTGATTTAACATTAAACAGGAAAAGCTTTGAGCTGGGGGGGAGGCAGAGGTGCGCTGCTTCCCTGTGAGGAGTCAGGAATCAGAGGGAGAGAAAGGCTGGGCCGGGCCTGGGTTAGGTATCACATACCAGGGGCCCCGGACCCCAAATCAGCCCCGTCTAGACTCTCTGGCACCTGCCTCTGCTTATTTACCACAGACAGCCACCGGAGGCCCCGTCAGGGCCGCTGCAGCGCCACACTGCAGTCCGACCAACGCAGCCCACCCCCCAACCTCCACCTCCACCTCCCTCCCACCTCCCTCACTCCTGACATCCCTGCTCTGGAAACCCCACATCCAGCACCAAACGGTGACCCCATTAAAAGCAGGAGAAGGGGAAAGGGGCAGGTCAGTCACCAGCCTGGGAAAGTGATAAAAGAGAGAGGTCTTAAAAGAACAGAATAGGTGAGAGAGGATAAAAGGTGGGAAAGGGGCTGAAGCAGTCTGTTAATTACAGCTGGAGTGTGGGACTTTCACGTATAAATGAACTTCAGTTACATTCCTTCCTGAAGCAGTTCACACAATGCTGATTAAGCCAATCACAGCCAGGTAAACCTCGCTGGATTTCCCAGAGTTTTTAAATATGGAGACATTCCCGCACTGGCTCTCTGGAAGTGATGTGTTTTTCATCAACCAGCAATGATTGGTTGACTTTCTGAGGCTCCAGATAATAAAAGGAACTCTTATTATCCAGTCACCATCGAAGGCTGTAACTGTTCCTCTGCAGGTGTTTTTACAAACAGGACAGATGGAGGGACATTATATATTATATATTATATTACCTGGAATACTTTATAAGGCACCCCAAAGATCAACTATTCATCCTCTGTTTGCACTTGCACATTTATTTTCTTACATCATTTATTATTTAATATCTTGTATATTTGTAACTATTTTAAAGTGTGACTCGACATCACTGTAAACGAGGGCCCTCGATGGTTTTTGAGTTTAAATAAAAAGGTGTACAAATGAAAAAAGAGGACGTGAGGAGTTTTTAATGTCACATTTTCTTTCAATTTTTCAATGGTATCTTCTGAAAACATTCTCTGTACATTATGGTCTGATATGGCCCGTTACCGAAATGCAACGATTAGTTGATCGACTGAAAAATAATCCCAGACTATTTTAGTAATTAATCGTTTTTTTGTTTTTTAATTCAAAAGCTTCAACTTTCAAATGTTTCTGTTTTATATTAAAGTGAATATTTTGGGGTTTTGGACTGACGAACAAGACATTTAAAGACATCATCTTGAAATCTGAGAAACCGGAAAGGACATTTTAAACTATAATCCAGAAATAATCTACAGATTAATCTATTGAGCCTTGTCTGTAATCCTGACGTTAAACACTGAATCCTTTTTATTCTAATTTATTTTTTTGTTTTTCCTAACAGTCTGATTTTTATCTACATGTTTCATATGTGTATAATAGTAAACTGTGTTGTTAAAATCTTCAAACTACAGATAAATATTACTGAGGACATTGACATACAGCCTCAATCAGAGTGGCAGCAGAAAGTTGTCGACACTAAAACATCATTTTAATACTGATGAAGGTTTAGTGTGGACAAAAAGTGAGAGACGGATGGATAACATTAGAGTCAGGAGAGGGTAGTGAGGAGAAGAGTGAGCTGGCCTCGGGGTGGGGTCGAAGGTCACTTCCTGGTCATGCTGCTAGCCGGCATCCCTTCTACCTGGGGGGACACCGTGGTTCAGATCTGCTGCTGACGCGACCTTCTGAACAAACAGCCGGCCTCTCGCGGCCACATCTGGCTGGCATTTACACCCAATCTCGACAAACAAACACGACACACATTTAGCTAATCGCTGACGATGAGAGCAGCGACTGACCGGGTCAACTCAATCAGGAGGGAGTGCAGCTCAACAAAAATGTTATGATCGAAAGTTGAAAGAAAATCAGCCTGAGGGAGAGTTCGAGCTTCAGCTGTAAACTTCATTTTCATCGACACAACTTCATTTGGGTTTGGACAAACAGTGTCTGATGTTGAATCGGGAGGAGAATGTGTGAAGAAGACACAGAAAAGGATGAAACGGCGTTCAGGACTCGTGGAAAGAGAAGGAGAGGAGAGAAAAAACAAAGTTGTCATCACAGTGAGAGCAAAGACTGAGCAGCAGTCCTCTGGTGGGTTTTGGTTCCAGATGTGGCGTGCGTCCCTCCCTCTCGCTCTGTTTCTCATGCATTAATTCCCGGGTGCCGTTAGCGGCCGATGCTAATGTGTCCGTCGTGGTCTGCTGGCGGCGTACATTAGCCAGTCTTACCTGCGGTATGCAGTCTGTGTCGGCAAACATGGACTTGAATCTGTCGTCCACGCTGATGTGGTACAGAATGCACATGCTGAGCTGTCTCTGGCCCTCGTCAGCTGCAACATAAACAGGGGAGAAGGAGGAAAGTCAATGGATGAATGACTGGTTGTGCCGTAACGCTCCGCGGGATGCCAATGACCACATCTAGGAGGAGCTGTGTGTTTTTTGAAAATATTAATGGGCTGAATGGCCTTTTTAACAGAGATTCCTGTCAGAGGTCAAATGGCACTCGGAGCAGAATCAGCACCGGGCCGGCTGCAGTTTCTCAGTTTGTCGTCTCGCAGGCAGCTAACCAGAACAAAAACAACATTTAAAGGATAAATGTGGAACTGCAGCAGACTGAAAAAGGCTTTAAATGCTGCTTAAAGGACCAGTTATCACAATTTGTAAAAAGAAAATATATTTGTTATTTAGATAAACCAGATTTCTGCCTCCTCCCAAAATCAATGGAAGTCAGTGAAACCTGTGATAGGACCGTCTGTTGCCTGCAGGGAACGTAGGTGCTGCGAGAACTATGACTCACACACTTTATACACCATATTCACGTGACTAAAACTGACACCAGAGACACTTTAGCACGCTGTTTTAGAACTCACTCGCCACCAATTGCAGTAAAGGAACAATAAAATAAGCCAGATTGTGCAGGCACACTAGGAGCTTTGACGTTTCCCCACTTCCACATGGCCACTGTGAACGCAGCGTTATATCCACACTTGTGAACTGCACAATCTGGCCTCTTTTATTGCAGCTTCAAGTACCAAAGCTCGTGAGAAAGTTCTAACAAGTGTTGTGTGTGTGTGTGTGTGTGTGTGTGTGTGTGTGTGTGTGTATCACAGGCCGATATATCTTCTTCCACTGTGCCACAGAGCTTCATTATTATCCAAAACCTTTTAAAAACACATCAGTGATCCACACTGTAGTTTATTTGGACTCAATCCTGCATACACTGTCCTAAATACTAATAATATTACACAAGGCTCCAAATGTTGATTCATCCACCGCTAAAAATAGTCCACAACAAATGTTGAGGGTTTTATGCTTTAGGAAAGTATTTTTTAATATTGAATCTACAGATCTGATCTCCAGTAGGAACCAATGGGCTACAGACTGGGTGGAGCAGTGAGAATGTACTGAAGGACAAACGCATTGATTCTGCACATCGGATTTGTTGACAATAAGAAACATACAGAATAATTTCGGCCGTATCAATAAATAAAAAAAGAACTTCTCGTCTCCGTCCAGAAACAGTGAGCCAGTTGCTCGTGAGGATAATGCACAGACCTCACTGAGAACAGTTTACACAGGGACTATTTCTTCGGTAGAAAGCGGTTCCAATGAAAACTGTGGACGGTGAGGTCTGTGGACTATCCAGAGTAACCGGGACACTGTTTGTGGAAAGACACATTCATGTTGAATTATTTTTAAAGCCGCATTAATATATACATATATATTTTTTCTGCTTGGGGGCAGTGGAACGAGTTGTTATGGTAGTGTTAGCACAGTAGTCTATTTACAAAGCTGTTATCGTCCCATTGGAGTCAGGTTTGTGTCCGCCTGATGAATGAAAGTCCAATATTCACTCCTCGCTCCACTTTCTTCTCTAACTGGGTCTGTCTGCAGGTAGCTGGTTGGATGAAAACACTGAGACTGACCAGACACTCGCCATGTTTCCGTCCGAATTAAGCAGCAACCTCCGAACTGTAGTTCCTCTAACGGCCACTAGAGGCTGGCTCCAGCAGTGAGTCGATCTCCATAAGGCCCCATATTCAAATGTTTACAGCCTGGTTCAAAAAATGTTGTTGGCCTCTGTAGCTAATTTCCCTGATCAGGACAAATGTACGTTGTTATTGGATATTTATATAACTCACCTGTTTAAATTATATTAAGGCTTAAAGTTATCCATAATTAATGTTGTGGCAGCTTTGAGTGACAGTTTAGGTGCCAGGCTTGATTCATTTTATAGTATATGGTCCAAATATATATTGAAAATTTTAAACAAGTATCAACAAAATCAGTAAAAGTAAAGTCAAATGAAAGTTTGTTTCCCTCCACTACCGTACAAGTGAGTTGGTTAAGTGCTAGTCGAAGCTCAAACGGTGAAAACCAAAGCAGAAAACAGGATGTAAATATTATATTTCTGTTAGTTTTATGTTGTGTTTTTGCTAAAACTGATCAAGTTCTTTTATTTTTCTGTTTCCATCAAAGTTTTAAAATGCGATATTTCAAAATGTGCCTGAAATAAGTTGATGGAAATACAGCTAATAAACATGATGTAAAACTAAAACTAGTAACTAAAAGAGGCTGCATTTTACACTACATATCATTTAATTGATTGATTGTTAATTAAAATATTGATATATGGTGATAGTCAAAGATCTACGAGACAGATCTATCAGAACAAATAAAACTATAACTATCTGCATGGATTCAAAGTGCTTCAGCTGTTTGTTTTATTGTAATTTGGGTGAACTGACCCTTTAATATCTGTCTAATAAACAGAGTACATTCTCCGTCACTGACAGTTCTGAGGGGCTTATCAAACCTCTGCAGCAGCATGAGGGAGATAAAGACAGAATGGATTGAGTGTTAGACTGTCAGCGAGCCCGGGACCTTTATGAGTTTCACCTCTGACCAGAGCTGGGGGGCTGGAGGCCTGGAGGAGGAGCCAGCCGGAGAGAATTAACAGAGTTCATACCAGAGTTTGACCCGGGAACTTTTCATTAAGAGAAGTGTTAAGAGAGAGGCTCTTCACTGGACCAGAACCACCGACAGACCTCCTGTAACGCCCCACCGGCCTCCAAAAGCCCCAAACAGGTCCAGTTAAAACTGGTCCCAGCCGTGTTCGGTCACTGGCCGTACAGGGAGCCTTATCGGTGAGTATTAGATCCAGATGTGCTCAGTGAACCCCTGGAATCACAGGAGGGAGAGACGGCTTCTAGCTTTAATTGGGAAAACCAGGAGGAAGCATCAATTTTACTGCCTTTAATAAGTTAAAGCTACGCTGCTCGCCGCTCCGGCCCTTCCAGCACAGCCAGCGATCGGACAGAACATGTGCTTCTCATTAGCGATCCTTTACCTCCACCGATACCTTAAAATGCACATGAAAACAACACACACACACACACACACACACACACACACACACACACACACACACACACACACACACACACACACACACACACACAGATGCAATAAGCTCCTCCAGACCCACAGAACTCCCTCACTTTGCTGGTAGGAATATGGAGGATCCTTTATGGGCAAAGAGAGAGATCCCATTAAATGTTCAAAACACTGGTCGGTTGGGGCAAGAGAGAGAGAGAGAGAGAGCGGGGGGGCTGTTAGGAATTAACTAGACTGTTCATGGGCAGTTAGTGGGAGAGCTAAACTCCAATTACACTCCAGCCTCATTTAAAACCGCCTAACCTTCGTAAAATTACACCAGCGCACATTAGGAGGCGTCTGGGCTCGGTTTGTGGACAGCGCCGCTCCGTTGTTATTGCATTTTCTGGATAAATAAGAAAGCTGGGTTTGGTCTTCAGAGACATCACACACCACATAACAAAGTAAAACGCTCCTAAAGACGCCCCCCCCACACCCCCACTCACTCTCCTCATGTGTTTATGTAATGGAGTCAACACGAGGAAAAAGCTGCTTCAAACCAGGAAAAAGTTACTTATTATTTCATCTGTGGATTGTTTTTTTTTTTTTTTTGGATAAATTAGATTTAATTTGTGGATTATTAAAATAAAAATAGATTTAATCTGTTGATTACTTTTTAAAAGAAACATATTTACTCTGTGAAGTATTTAAAAAGAAAGATTTAATCTGGATATTTTATAAATAGATAGAGGACAATGATATAAAACAGAAATTTTCATCACCGAGAAGCTGAAACTAAAGAATATTTGTTATTAGTGCTGTCAAAGGATTAAAATATTTAATCAAGATTAATCACATTAATGTCATAGTTAACTCGCAATTAATCGCACATTTTTATCTATTCTAAATGTCCCTTGATTTCTTTTTGTCCCGTTATTTTTTCTCATTTTAATGCTCTTATCAACATGGAAAATGTTGTTTTTATTGAAAAATCATCCATTGTCGCCTGGCTTTGACGAGGGGCCGGAGTGTGTCTGGCCATCAAGCGGTATTTCAGACTGGACGTGCTGCGATGATAGCTCAGTTCACAACGACAAAACACACAGATCACTTTGGTCTTGTCAATGGAACCATTTGGCAACTTTTTAAAAGTAAACTTTCCATTCAGAATATTATTGGCATCCATTTCGGCGTCTCACGCTCGCCATCACACTCTGGTGTGGTGTTGTAGTTTTTCTAACGTTACTAGTTGTTGCAACAGCATGTGAAAAAACTACAAAGTGTGCTAGGCCAAAAAGAACGTTAATCTCACAAAAAGAACGTTAATCTCACAATAAAAAAATTGACGGCGTTAAAATGGGTTTGCGTTAACGCCGTTAATAACGCGGTTAACTGACAGCACTATTTGTTATATATGCTTAATAAATACATTCAACAATTAATATGTGAATGTCAAAATGAAATAACTAATTGTTTCTAGCTGAAACAAACTGTTCAAAAACACAGTAAAGAGACAGAATTCCTCCAGAATGGACACAGACTGTGGACGTGGTTCTGGTTCTGTCACGTACTGACGGCGCTAACGGAGGTTAAATCTAAGACTTTTTAAAGACCATTATGAATGAAGATATATCTTACATCCATACTGGTTCTATGTTGGTTTGGTTTTTTAGTTGTTACAGCATCAATACATCAATACATATTTTTTACCCAAAACACATTGAAAAGAAATTAAGAAATAAAACTTTATACAAATTACTTTAATTAATCTAATATGGCCTAAAAATCTGATTATTGGATTTTAGACTTTTTTTAGAAACAGATGTTCTCAGACATGGGCAGATGTTTTAGTGACATTTTAAAAGTATGAAATATATTTTCATGATTATTGTGATAATATTGTGTGTTGCAATTATTTTGGCCAAGATAATCTTTCACATCGTCACATGTCTAAATTTGAGTTTAAGGCCATAACCTGTGATGGGTTGACCCAGTTCAAATCATATTCAGTGTACGATGATATAAAACAGAGAAAAGAAGCAGAAAATGTTGACTTAAACAAGGAACTCATTTTCAAAATTGTTGATCAACTAATCAACAAACTGTTTCTGCTCTGGAAAATATAAAGTAAAAAACAAAGCTGACACTGAGGAATCTTCCACTTCCTGTTGAGTTCAGGTGGTGGTGGGATGGATCAAGCAGGAGGTGATGATGAAAAGTGGAGGCTCCCTCTCCACTTCCATCTTATCATCGGGGGTCATGACCCCGGGCCGGGTCTGGATGGAGAGAGTGGAGGCTGACAGACCCCGCCCTGCCCTGCCCCCCCTCGCTGTAGCCTCTCTTTGGAGATAAGACCAGAGTCCTCATGCTGAGGAGTGCGTCGGTTGAGGGGAGGACAGTCGGCAGTGAAAGCGGATGATTAATGACACGTCGGCTTACACGCAGAGTTACACACATGCGCGTGCAAACACACAAATACCTGCAAACTCAACAGTGTCAAAGCTGTGAGCAGGCGTAATATTTCAGTGTTAAGTTATATTATGTGTAGTGCCTTCGCTTCCTGAACGAGCAACCCCCACCCCGCCACTTCCCAAAAAACAGCCCTCCCTAAATCTCCGAAGACCTCTCTCCACCTCTCCGGCCGGCTCCTACAAAAACAACATTTGTGCAGAGGCTCTGGCATGTTATTCTAACAAATATATTACATTAATTATGCGCTGTTACCCGAGCCGCCCCCTGAGAGGCTTCAAAAGGCCCGTCAGAGATGCTTCTGACCGTGTCACAGGCCCCTCGGATGAGACAACGCACCGATCGCACGCTCTGGAGCTTTTAGGAGGTCATCGCTCTAATGGTCACCAGAGGCGGCTCGAGCGGCGGGTGCCGTGTAAAAGCTGCACCTGTGCGTACGCTGCAGTAATAACAAATTAGAGGCTGCACTGCCGGCTCGGGATGGATGACGTGTGTCTGCTTCTGTCAGTGAAAACATGAAGTAATGGCTCCGCTGATGCAGAGCCAAACATACAGACACAAACACGACGAGCCAGTAAACACTTAAACGGGAACAAACAAAAAGACACACAAACAGTGAGACAGATTACCGAGCAGCGAGGAGAGTTTGGGAACGAGTCCCGCCTGGACCATCTGGCTGCGCAGCAACGTGTCGAAGGAGAGGTTGAGCAGGAGGCGTAAGGTGGTGCTCAGGAGGTCCTCGTGCTCGCAGGGAACCAGCCGGGCCAGCTTCTCCACGGCGAAGGTTTCCGCCTGCAGACAGAAACACACAGACAAATAACTGTAACAACAGTCTGCTCTGTGGTCCACTGCTTTGTCTAGGGTGGTGCATTTCTTACAAAACAATGTATTCTTGTTGTTTATTCAATATTTCTGCAGTTGGCAGCCTTTAAGCAACCCACACAACCCCGAGGCCATCACGGATTAAATAACACCAGCTTGACAGACTGAGACCAGACAAGGAGTGAGGTATGAGAACAGACAGTGTCGAAAGATTTAGACGTTTTCCAGACAGGAGAAGGTTGCAGCCAAAATCAGATAAAATGTATACATAAAGCTAATTTAAAACCAACCCTTGCAGACCACAGTGCAGGTAGAGAAGATCACAATTCAGAGAAACACAACAAAAAAAGATCCACATGTTTTGAGCCAGAACTTAAAGGGTCAATGGGGCAGCAGATCTGATCTGAACACATGCACAATGAAGTTTGAAGGGAGCGTGGGCGAAGAAAACAATTTCCTAATTCTACCAGAAACAGGAAGAGAATAATACAGGATATATTAAAGCAAAATAACTTTCACAGGAGGATCTGGTTGGAAAAGCTTGGTCAGTTTAATTTCATTACGCCGAGTAAATAAACCCAACAGCAGTGCTGGAGACAGTGTCCCATGTCCTTGGTCCACACATTCAAATATATCAGGAAAACTGGGCGTGGTCACATGGCCACTTATTCTGAGTGAGGATGATATGAAGCATTACACACAGGTGACAGGTGTGTTACAGATATTTTAAACGTGAGATTGTCATTAAACACATTCTTTAGATAATCACAAATTCCTCCTGAACTCTCATCTGGTTTAAAACAGGTTGAATGACATCAACAATCCATTATTTCTGATTAATCAGTGCAACAGACGAGCGAAAACACATCAGTGATACTCTCACATATTAAAAATCAAAAGCAGGAATAACCTACATTAGTGAATATTTTCATAAATTCAGAGTAAAATAAATCTACTGATCTACTATAATTCACGTAGACTGAATATTTAAAGAAAGAGTTCTCATTTGAACTTTTACTCTGGTGACGGCAGCAGCTTGTTGTACCTCGTGCAAATGTTCTTAATTATTCAATTTAACTGCTCTCCAAAATACACAATTAGTTCAGTGCAGCGTATTTCAATATTACTGAGACAGTAGACAGCCCTCGTTCTAGCTCCTTCATATCTATTAACCCAACTATATCATATCAAACTATATGAAACCCGTAATAATTATACCACTGAATGATCTCTGAGGTGACGTCCAGTTGTTTAAGCCTGGAGAAGGTTCACCGGACCTACAGGCAGGTGGAGGTGTTGAGCTAGTGACTCCACACACACACAGAGACAAACTCAGCCTCTTCAGGGATCAGTGATGTGTGAGAATGTGGTCGGATCCACATGCTGTCACTGTGACCGTCGGTGTGACACACGTCAGTACTGGTCGGTCCGGAGCTGCCTGTTAACATGTCTGCTCCCCCCGCTCCTGTGGTCTCCCCGCAGCCAGATTATCACGGTGACGCAACCTGCTCCCAGTTAAAAACGCACTCGCTGCTACTGTGTGCGAAAACCAGCTCCAGTCGCACCATCACAGAACCAGACCCCGAGCAGCATAATCAACTGCAGCCTGTGTCAATTACCACTGACGTTCCCCCTCCATTAGTGACAGCGGCAGGGAAAAAAAACTTATCTGATTAGGAGAAAGTCACAACATGTTTGCTGAGTAAATAAAAGCTGCTGACACACGGTACTGTATCATTCAGCCTTTTTTCAATCAATTAAACACCCATGTCCTTAAATGGAAACCCTTTCCCCTTGTGTAAACTGATACACTCAAGTGTTGAAACCACCATTTTCCTGCTGGACACATGCTTGAGTGGGTCCAAACGCCCTGAAGGGTTCTTTAATCTGAATCAAAGATACACTGAAGGGGAAACAAGGAGATAAAACCAGTTCCTAACAGGGTCTGGCTTTGATAAAGACCCACAAACCCGAGCCAGATTGGAACCAGGTGGGGCTGGATTAGGGCGAGCCGGAGCAGTGAGGTGCCTGTATGAGCGCTGTGGGACACGTGGGCCGAAAGTGGACCTTCTAAGCGTTTATTAAACTGAAATCTGATAAGTGTGGTTTCAAACTGGCTTTTCTACAGCGTAACAGAACAAATAAAGAATGATTGTTTCCTCCAAATGAGACCAATTTAGTTTAGAACAACGTTGTTAAAGAACACATTCATTAGAGATGTGAAGAGTTCTGCTGGTAGAAAACCCACAAAGACGCCACGACTTTCAAACAATGAGCTGCTCCGACAAACAGTTAATCAATTAAACCAAATTAAATCCTAAAATTTGTTGATCCAAGAGTAGTTTTACTTATAACTTCACTGCAGGATTATTTTCTTATTTTGCTAAACAAAACCTGTGATTAATGTAGTGTTTGTTATCCCATGTGGGTCAGAACTGTGTAATAATCAGCATCAGAATCTACAACAATCATTTTTAAAAGAGGAAAAAACAAAACAAAACGTCATTTTCCGGTAAACAAATATTGAAAAGCACAAAAGAAAGAGAGACAGACATTAGGTGGTCAACACTCTGTGGACACAACATCGTTCCACCCGTATGTGATTGTGAAACTACAACAGCATCTTCTTCCACCATTTCCTGGAACCTGGCTTCATTTTAACTCTAACTCTGGGTCTGTGAAGTGTCTTGAACCTGCATCCTTTCTAATGGCCAGCAGGGGGCAGCTCCACGGACGACAGAGCGATAGCACTGAGCCTTATGACTTTATTAATGAGCTCAGTAAACAGTTTCCTGATGAGTTTCTGGTCTCAGTCTCTAGTTTCAGTCTTCTTCCATACAGCATGATGTTCATTTAGAAACTGATGGTCCCATTTAGAGTAAAACAGACCATAAAGCAGAATAAAAGCGGCATATAGTCACATCTTAAGTTAGCTTATTTTAGCAAAACATGAGCTTACTAACAAAGGATGTAAATTATCTAGCTAGTGTTCCCAGTTGCTCCCAGGTTTATTTGTTTACAGGCCAAAATGGCGCCAATGTTAAAGTTCAAGGTTCAGCTCAACTGTTATTGGATTAGAGTAAAAAGGTAGAACACACTGTTAGAAGCAGGTATACATCAGCGCTCTGTGTTAGGAGAAGATGTCATTATATATATATATATATTTATATTATAAAACCTCCAGTGACTGTCGCGCTCTCACCATGTCATTCTTGTTCTCCATGAAGATGGAGAGCTTCTTGAGGAAGGAGACGACCACCAGCAGCAGCTCCTCGTCCTCCCGGTCCAGGATCTTCACCAGCATGTGGACGATGTTTTTGTTCCTCATCTTCAGCTCCGTGTGGGTGTCTTCAGCCAGGTTCAGCAGCAGACACAGAGCAACTGCAGGCACAGATACACCAGAGACAACAACAGGAATGAGTCTTTCATCTGTAACTCACTGATATTCCCTCGCTACTCTTAACTGGTGCTTTTTACTTTCATTATCAATGAGTCTGTCAATAAGCTTTATGAGTCTAAACCAAACCTCAAAGACATTCAGTTTAAAATGATAAAGACACAGAAAAGCACCAAACCTTCATATTGGACACAAATACACTTCTCCAGTAACTGTTAAATAAAGGACTTACAAATCAAACATGTCTTTGATTCTTTGGAAATCAACATTTAAAGTCAGCTTTTCTGTTAAAATCCTGTTTGATATTTCTAAACTGTGTAAATTGTTTTGTTTTGAAAAGTGCTGTATAACGAAACCTATACTTACTTATAGTCAGAAAAGCAACTTTTCACACTATTTATAGTTTTTCTTACCAGTGACAACAATTATTTCCATTATAGATCAATCTGCAGATTATTTCTTACAAATTATCAATTAATTGAAAATTTACCAGAGCCCAAAGTGACGTCTTTAAATTTATTATTTTGTCAAACCAACCGTCAAAAAGGGTTTTTGACCCATTTAGTGTCACAAACGATTGCGAGAAGTAGAAAATGTTTGACATTTCTGCTCTCCAGTATATCGTGATGCAGCCACACCTGGTGGACACCGCAGGTAAAATGACAGTACAGTAGAGTTCAGTACAGTAGAGTACAGTAGAGTAGAGTACAGTAGAGTTCAGTACAGTAGAGTACAGTAGAGTTCAGTACAGTAGAGTACAGTAGAGTTCAGTAGAGTTCAGTACAGTACAGTAGAGTTCAGTAGAGTAGAGTAGAGTAGAGTAGAGTACAGTAGAGTTCAGTACAGTAGAGTTCAGTACAGTAGAGTAGGAGTTCAGTACCTTTGAGAAGCTGCTCCTGCTTGCTCAGAAGGCTCTGGTACTTTCTGAAAGACTTCTCGTGTTCCTTCTTCAGGTTTTGGTTCTCAGAGGATTCTTCATGTGAAATCAGTGAAGGAAAAGATGCTGTAACATGTAAACTGTCGCCAGTCTGAGTTACAACTTTATACTTTCCACATAAACATTATTACACATTACATTTATTTAGTAACAACTGCGTGTTTGACTCTCAGAAAAAGGATATAGGCCTTCTTTTTCTTCTGTAGTTCTTCTTGCCAGAGGTCGAACCTCTTCAGCTCGTGCTCAATGATATTCATACACAGGGCCCCAATCTTGAAATGTGTGACCAGGCCGTGGAACTGGGAGAAACTAGAGGAGCAAATTAAGAGGGGAGAGAAAGAGAGAGAGTGAGAGAGAGAAAAAGACTTCCATTTATCCAAAAGTGGATTTTCAAAATGTTTTTGGGGGGGATTTGGGATTCCAGCTGGGAGCTGTCATTAAAATGACCCAATCCGTCACCCCTGAAGTAGTTTACAAAGTAAACTGTCAAAGTCAAAACACATTCAGTCAAACAGTATGTCCTGGTCCGACTTATAATCAGTCCAACTTGAACCGTTTCACAATCCAAACAGCATAACACGGCGGTGGACGCGAGCCAAGAGTGACGATCAGTTTTCAGACATACACGTCCTCTCGCGGCCTAAATCCGCTCTGACAGACGTTTATGTATTATTCTAGCGAAGGCTAATTTTAGTGTTTCCTAACCCCCAGTTGGAGAGTGAAACTTCAGTACGAGGTACGCTGCCAAAGGTGGAGGACTACTGTAAGAAAGAGGGAGCGCGGTGAAGAGAGAGGAGAGCAACTGACTGTAAAGGGTCAGTGCTGTTCAGGGCGTTTTTTGACTGGCAGTGGGGCGAGTGGGGCGATGACTGATGCAAGGGTGGCACCAAGTGAAGTGAATGTGTCATTCATCATTTATGGACCGAGTACGCAGAAATATTAAAGTAAACTAGGTGAAAATAACACGTGTCTGGAAAGGGGAGACTCGTGGGTATCTATACCACCCATTTTCATTCAGATATCTTGAGGTCAGAGGTCAGGGGATCTCTTTGAAAATGGCCATTCCAGTTTTTCCATCATCAAAATTTTGTCTAACTTTGGTACCAATGGATGCGTTAGGTCATCTAGTTTCATATGATAACAGTCTCTTAACTCTAACTCTGAGCGGAGCCCACTACAGCCTCTGAAGGACAAGCAGAGTGGAGGGGGTTAATGGGGGGGCAACCTGGGGTGGAAAATCAGATTTCAAGGGTGGGCAGAGCAGAAGTGGAAATCCCCCCCAAAACTCTCCACTGGATTCTCTAAAATCTGTGGCCACAGATTCAAAGCTACGATAAAACAAAAGCAAGGGCTCCCAAAAACACAAAATCAGACAGTGGTGGCTCTCTGTGTGTGTTTGGACTAAAGTGTACCTGGAGAAGCAAAAGAAGACGTGGGTGATGGTTGTTGCCAGGTCCACGCTCTGCTTCCAGTCCTCCCTCAGAACTCTGGCCAGGGCTCCGAGGGCCATCTCTGATCATAGATACAATAGGTACAATACAATACAGACACATACAGACACACAGATATAGAAAAAGGTCAGACAGAAGGAGGCCACAGATGAGAAAGAGCGTCTGTGTGTGTAATTCAATCAGACTGAGCAGGGAGCGGTGCAGCTGGAGCTTCGGTTAAAGAATCGTGGGGGAATGCGATGAGGTTGGAGCCTCCTGGGGATTTTGAGCTATGGGTGCTTCTCAACGTAAAGACGTTGCGTCCCAGGGTTCGTCTCCTCTTTCCAGGCCGACCCCGGGAACTCCGGGTTCACACGAAACGCTCGGCTCTTATCAACGTCGGACCGGTTGATGCGGCGCGGCAGACGGAGTGAGCTGACGACGCGTTATGACAGATACAAATGAAGCCGTGCCATCGAACCGCGGCTGTGGAGGATGACGGCTCCGTGCTGTTGTGGGAGAAACAGCCCGGTCGTCACGGAAGGGAGCGGAGCTGAAGCCCGAGCTGTGTTTTCTTTAGAAGGCGAGCTGATAAAAGCCAACAGATTCTACACTGAAGCTCTACTCTGATCAGCACTCCCTTGTCATCCAAATACAGTTTTATTTTGAGTTTTGGAAGACGGCTGAGGTTTGCACTTCTGAACTTCAGCAACTGGATTCACTCTGCCAGAACAAAGATTCAGAAAATGAATACGTTCAGAATAATTGACCATGAGAGTTCATCCTTGACCTTTCCAGAGCTGTCAGACACATCTCAGCTGCAGATGGATGGCCAGATAAAGATGCAAAGGCAGAGTATGTAAATGAAGAGGATGTTAGCTCCTTCGAACTTCCTACACTTTGAGTTTAATCCATTATATTTTGGGCTTTGTGGAGATTTGGACAATGGCACATTCAGACGCTGCAGCCGGCAGCTCCATCAAACTTATCGGTTTTTGTTTTAATCGGTTTTTGGCTTTATTGGTGAAACACAAATGACATATGACAGAAGTAGTCTACAGTCTTTGGAAAAGGAAGCGTGGGGTTTGGATCCACACAGACCGGTTGGTTTTCTGACAAATATTTATCTCTTATAGCCTAAGTAAAAGTCTAAAACTGGCTAAATTTTATTAAAATCTGGAACTATGTGACCAAAGAAAGTCAACAACACCATGAATCTAAGCAGATTCTGATTCAATCCCCAGACCTTGGAGCCAGAAATCAGAGAGATCTTAATCGTGAAGTAGTTTGTCAGGAGCTAGAAAATGAAACCATTAAAAAATAGTTTAAATAAAAAAAAAAAACGTAGCAAAGATCATTAAGTTATCTTGTCTCTTAGTAAAAATGTAAATCTATAATCTGTAACATTTCCTCATTAAACAGTCTATAAACTCTGGCTTTATGCTCTATATGTAGTTGAGTTCTTATATTATCCCAAATGTTTCCAACAATGTTCAAACTCAGAGAAATCTGTCATTTTATTCAGGTAACGCTGCGTTTCACCGGTCGCCTGTCGATGGCGTCATATCCCCTTTGTGCCTGCGTCAGCGTTGTGGTTGTCTGCCAGAAGCTGTCATACATTGACTGTTGATCCAGTGTGAAGCCACATTGTTACCATCCACTGTTTAGATCTTGGTGCTTTTTAACTCTAGATTTGAACCAGATGAAGGATTTTAGTCATCGGACGTCTGGATCTTAAGTTATCAGAGAAACAAGCTGAGCTAACGTTAGCAGCAGCTCGGCTCGCAGCCCCTCCGGGACGTCCTTTGTCTGTCCAACAGCGTGGGAGAAGCAGTGATCAAACTTCTTTTGTTATTTTTTTTTAATGTGAGAGAGCTCCTAGTGACAGAAATTACATATTGTACATTTAAATTAGCAAAAGCAAAAACAGTACCTATAAAGTTTGACCTCTATATCAATATTAGTCGGGAAAAATCAACACACTGGAGTTGGCTGTGAGCTTGTTGTTGGATTTCTACTGTACCTCATAAAGAGATAAAGAACTAAAGTAAATAAGGAAGTATGTTTTATCTGTAATTTGAGCTGAAGCTGAATAAAGTCATTGGGTACCGTTCTGCATGAGTTCCTCCAGGTTGTCCGGGTTACGAGCCAGGTGGAAGATGAGCGTAGCCCCTCGGATCTTCTCCTGAACGTCCTCGTACAGCAGCTCCACATACTCGTCGATGCTGTTGATGCTCGCCTCCTCGTCCAGCTGAGGGGAGATAAGAGTTCAGCACGGCGAGCTGCGGACGCGTGCACACACACAAACACACACACACACGGTTCCTACCTCCACTCCGGCGTACGGCGCGAAGTCTCGAGGTGAGACGCGTTTCTTCTCTTGGCTGTCTGTGAAAGGAAACATTCAGCATCACAAAGACTTCCACCTTTCACTCTGAGGCGTTTAAAGTAGTCACGATTAACTCTTCGGTACCGTTTGAATGTTTGCGGTTCTGCAAATAGAAGAGCAGCTGCTCCACCTCGCGGAGCTTCGACGGGTGAATCAGCCGACATTCCTCCACGACCTTCCGAGCCAGAGACGACGTGTCCGTGTGGGCGTTCAAGCTTTTCAGGCGAATCCTGAAAGGAGCACCAACATGTAGATAACAGAATTCTCATTCACTGAGGTGTACACAGTTAAAAAGAGGCTCTTATATAATTATGAAATAGATGAAATATAACGATTCTCACATTTTCTGACACTCCTTGCGTTCTCCAACCACCGGGTCCCCCAGCTCGCCCACGATGGTGGCCTCCACCTCGTACTGAACCACGAGGGCTTTCTCAGTCGGGTGGACATCCAGAGAGCAGCTCTTCACTCTCCTGCGGTCAGAGAGAGTAAAACATTTCATTTATTTTATCAGTGGTCAGTGGTTCTCAAACCGTTTCTGGCAAAGTTTCTCATTAGAATCAGAAAGAAGTCACAATGTATGTGAGAAACAGCATTATAATGAAGTTCTGTAGAGTTTGTTTGGTATCAAGCCCCAAATATTTCACATCATCGTGATTTTAATCCTTTCTTTTTACTGAAAATTAAAATTTGAGATGCAAAAATGTTAATTTCCACACTAATGATGAATCCTGTGTCATTATAATGTTTTTATAATCTCATTCAACCTCAACAGTCAGGCTGCAGGTAAAAACATCATATTGAGATTATTTTGATGGATATTACGATCGCGATATAATTCACAGTTGGTGTAAATAATCATTTTTAATATCACAATTTAAAATGTATTTTTAAAAACACCATTAAAATCATCACTCCAGTATTTCACTGTCACATTTTACCTCCATCCAAACACTGCAGCTTCTTCCCATTTAAATACTGCTAATTCAATAATATTGCCATTAATTGTGCAGCCCTGGATTATATACACTAATTAACACTGTGTTTAATTTATCTTATTTAATTTTCTGTTTAATGTGTATTTGTACATTTATGTGTGTGTGCTGTTTTATGATTAAACCCTCAAACACAAACACAAACAGTGTGTCTGTACATTTCCATCATTAAACATTAAAACATAAAATATATAAATGAGACGGTGAGGCCTTATTGATCAGATATTAGCTCCCACAGTCAACCGTCGTCCATGTTCCTTCACTTTACCGGAGCTAACGGTTAGCCAACAGTAATAGAACCTATAGAAAAACATTATTATTGTTGTTATTGTTGTTATTGTTGTTATTATTGTTATTATTGTGAGAGCTGCAGCCGTTACCTCTTCAGATAGCGAGGATCTCCTGCTGCCGGTAAACTGTCCATTTCACCCCACAGACAGAAGCCCGCACCAGAACAGGGTCTCCGGGCTGGTGCTGATGCAGACAGACAGGATGTTATTGATCTCTACAGCTCGTTGCCAGGGGCGGCGGCGGCGGACACCAACTCCCAGCATGCAATGTGAGGAGGGTTAGCAGTGCTGCCCCCTGTGGTCGTGGAGGACCAGGCTGCTGCAGTCAGTGGCTGATGCTCCTGAGAGTGGAAAGCAAACCTTTTTACATTTTATATCCCTGAGTTAACTGAGTGACATATTTTATTGATATTTTATATTATCTTCAATAAACTGTGAGATGAACACAAACTGTGAACACAATAACTGCAGGAAGTTTTTTTAAAAACGAGCGATTTGGATGAATATTGATCAGAAGTTAGTTTTTATGTAATTCTCTCTTTGTATTATGTGTTTTTAACAAGCACACACACTCTTCTGTTATAAGATTCAGTGTTATTGTCTCATTGTTCTGTGGCGGCGTGGAGGACGAAGCTGCTGTACAGGTTCCTCCACGTCAGATTTTGAGCGTCAGACACTTAATTTCTTGTATTCTGGTGAGATTTGATGTACTTTTTGGTTCAAATACATCGATTTCAAAGCCCTCTGCTACTCTCAATATGAATATAAAGGAACTTAAAGCTGCAAACACTCGCACTGCGTAATGCACCAGTGTATCATGTAGATCAGCTCATAATCACCACACAAGGCTTACATCCTGTTGCCAGTAGGTGGCGCTATGATGATACCTGGATATTGTCATGTAGACGTGTTCAGGGCGAGGCTCTTATCAAACATATGAAGTTTTGTTGAGATTGGACCCTGTACGCTGAAGTTATGACAACTTTGTGTTTCATGGCGAATCATCACCAATCACACATTTAATTTAATTGAATTCACTCTCATTCTGTCTGATACACTGAAACAGAAACATGATATCAGTGGGAACTCACAACTGAAACACTGCATAAAAGGAAAAACTGTCAAATAACAATCTACAAACACCTCGATTGGTCAACCATCTTAAACTCAGCCACTCACAGATTATTGACTCCCAGACTGGGAAAAAGATTTAGCTGTTACCATCGATATCAACTCCTGGACACATCTGCAACAACACCTTCTCGATGTCCCAGAACACAAAACTGCAACTCATTCAATACAAAGAGTTTATATATTATATATATATGGGACTCACAGAGAAGGACACCTGCACACTCAGGGCCTCAGTGAGCCAATGAGAGTTTAACATGTTGTTCCCTTATAGAGAACATAATAAACCAATAGTACACTTGAGAAGAGATGAACTCTAGCGTTTTACTGCTCGAAGCCACCTCCTGGGACAGTTCCTTCTTGGTGTGGTGAGGTCTTTTTCACTTCACATAACAAAGGCATCTGCTCAGTAACTCCACCCAACGGCTCCTCCCTCCTAACTTAACAATGGTTAGCACTGTCGCCTCACAGCAATCCTGGCTGGACGTACAGACACAAAGAGCTCAACTCTTAATTGTGATTGCATGGACCAAATCTGAAGTCCAAAAAGGAACTCGTTCAAATACACGGCGAAAAATCGCAGAATATGGGCACTAAATTAAAAATGGTCGATTCCTGTTGGGTTTGGATCCAAGAGGCTTACTCGTGTGTAACAATGTTCATACATGTCGGTTGTATGTGTTTTGGGGTCTTGGGCAAAGTTTCATGAGTTTTTGAGTATGTTAAGGCCTCTAAAAGTGCGATTCATTTGGTTTTAAAATAATAATAATAATAATAATAATAATAATAGGCCCAGCAGTTTCAATAAGGGCTTCACAGTGTTACTGCTCGGGCTATATATCGGGTTATATCAGGATGATAAAAACATCAGGTCACAGACACAGGCAAAATGTTTGGTTTGTCAAAATAAAGTAATTTACTGTGAAGCACTGAAAGAATCAAACAGTTAGAATAGTTTCAGTTAGTTTCCAGAGTCACTTTGTTTGTTTCAGTTTAGTTTTTATCATCTAAACATCGTCTAGTTTAAGTGTTAGTTTATTAAACACACTGACTCATATAGACATTCCAGTCTCAATGAACACATGCACTAATGCCTCCTCACACTTGTTGTGTGACCAATGTGACCAAATTAACAAAAACAAAAACATTTCCCGTATATTTTTCATTTTAGTACATTTTTATTTTGGTGAACTAAAATGTGTTTTAACTCCTAGTTTTAGTTTCGTTTTAGTCAATAATAACCTCGCTCCAGAGTGAAGGAAGGAACACAGTAATTGTTACCTCGGTTGTGTGAACACATATACGGGCTTTTCTTTTATATTAGTGCAACACTTTAAAGGAAGAAGGAGGTAAAAACATCTAACACATTGTTCCAAACAGACTATTTGTATATGTGTATTAATAAGTGACTGGACGGGATCTTTAAACACCTTCTAATATCAGTCCTACAGAGCTCCTCCAAAGGTCACGCTGGGAATGTTTTTTTCTGAAATTCTTTTGCGTTCCCTCGTGAAAACGCTGCGTCTAAACTAATATTACTGTGAAAATATCGAAATTCTTCTTCAGTGTTATTGAAAGAATAAAGCAGTTTGGTCCTCTTTTGGAAAGGAATGTATCTGCAGATATGATGGATGGTCTTGTTGCTCTCTGAAGACACAGAAGCCACCAGGGTGACTCCGGGTTAGATAACTCTATGGACCTATAACCTGACACTGGCTTTAACTTTCTTTTGACTCTTTATATTCAGTCCAACAAGCAGATTCTCTTTGTTTGAACCCATTTAAAGGTCCAGTGTGCAGGATTTAGTCTCATCGTGAACCTGGAAATGTTGAGTACCCCAAAGTTTTATGTTACAAATGCACAGTTTGAATCTCCAGCATTTAGAAACTGTTGGACAATAATTTGCATTAATAATCTGAATCACCTATACAGACAATATTCCAGCAACTGCTTGGCTTATTTGAACAATAAAAGAGTGGTTTTAGGGGTTATTGAAGATGCTGAATCATGACAGTTCCTAAGTTTAATATAAAAATAAGACAAATATTTTTAATGTGAACTTTGATCATCTACCTCAACTTCCCACATGAACTCTCATTAATTAAAGTCACAAGAGAGACATAAATAAGTGACAAGCAGGTGTAATCGATATTGTAACACGATGAACGTGCTCTCCACAAAGTATTTGCCTGTCTCAGCACCAGTCAGTCCCCACCTTTGTGACAGCTGATGTCACTGCACTAAACTTAGTCTGTGGCTGGTGATTTGATGCAGTATTATTTGTGTTAGCGGTCAGAAATAGACAGTATTCCCTGGTGACTGAATGAATGATTACTCATGCACAAAAACACATGTTGATCGTTTGTTTTTGTTGGACGGAGTAAGGTTCGTGTCCTGTCCTACTCCTAATAAAACACGCCACATATGCAGCTATTGTGGTTTAAGGCATAAGGCGAGACACTACACTTTCATTCGTCAATTTTGGGCTATTTTACTTCCAAAATGCCCAAAAATAAACATTAAGGTGTTAGTTTTACTGCACTTTGTCTGTTTGCATCTGTAGATTTCTCCAAAAGTTAGCATTAGATAATGCCTCATTTTCATATTCAAACATACAACTTCAGGAAACTTGTAATAAAAAAAGAATTGTCTTAATGTAAATAATCAACTGGGTAAGTTTCATGGTGATATTTATTAGTTAGAAGTTCACCTGTAGTGAATTTTACAATATGTATCTTTAAGGCTGTTTTCACTTCAGCACCAAACCTCCCAGTTTTATTCCTGTCTATATTCTGAAGGTTTTTACTGAAGGGTTGCTCATTTATTGTTCACAGCCTGATTTATATCACATTTTATTCCTACAAAACATGGCAAACATGTATTTTTGATGACTGCTGACAGCTAGCATTTTCTGCTGAGTGATAAAAAGAAGCTGAAGCTTTGACTGTAATACGTCAACAAAATGACACAATGAATTTTAAACCATGTTCAGATTTATGTTCTGGGAATTCTGTCATTTTAAGTGCATCATTTGCATATTTAAACATATTATTTCAGAAAACCTGAAGTAAATAATCAACTGGGTTTCATGGTGATATCTTTTTTACCCTTTGCACATGTACTGTCTCTGTCTGCAAAGCTTGAGGAACTACTACCAACTACATGAATCACCAAACTACTGTAACTCTAAGGTCAAACGGCGATGGGTCAACCTGAACGTGCGCCACACATAGCTGGTGTTTTTCTTTACCTACAGGTAAGGGACCAGAGACAGTTAATGCCAGTTCATCTATTGACAAACTCCAGTGGCAAAAGATTGTTTTGGTGTTATATCCCACCTGCCATGAAGAGGATTAAATAAGTATAGACTTTACTTCCCACTAAGGTAAGGTGGGTTTGCTACCAGACTTTGACTTTATGTTTGTGCAACAGATAAGATATTTAACACTTACCCATATGAGAAGAGTCTTTAACTCCCAGGCGCCCTCAATCTACATTTTTATTATACATGAAAAAGAAAATTCACATGTTCACTTTGGTCTGTGTACTACGAGAATAAGCTGACCTGGAGCCTAAATTGTAACTTTGTTCTCTGGGGACCTGTGCCAGTGGCAAACAGGAGCCGTTATATACAAACATGAGAAGACGTGGCTAATTTTAGGACAACATAATATGGAAGCAGAGGCTTGAGGTCGGACATATGGACTCTCATGCACTGCTGGAATTTGCAGCCTGAAGTTCAGTTGCTTCTGTTCGTCCTGAAACAGCCGGCGTCTCCTTCCATACCCCAGCCCCCCTCCCTCAGTCCTCCCAAGTCAGTGTCCCCAGCAGGTGATCTGTAAATCTGGCGGGACGTTCTGAGCACCGCCCCGTGAAAAAGATCTCTGCCGATCTCTTGAACGCTGGCAGAGACGTGTTGAACACTCAGCTAGACAGATATAGCAGCAGCTGGAGAAACAGTGTCCCAAACGGGTACCGTAACCACTCTACTATTGCTCTTTCAAACACCTTCGGGGACAAAAGCATTGCTCTGTGAGGTGCTGCTACGAGGCCACAGGCAGCCAAAATGGAGATTTCAATTGAAGATCAGAGCAGCAGCTCAACGGCAAACTTTGAGTTCAAGGGAGCTCACCAGGCCTTCAGGGATCGCTGGAAAGAAACAGATGAAACCATGTGTCGCCACAGCATGTCCTTCCACCTGCACCACACACTCAGGAGCGAGTTCTTCGCCAGCTACCTGTACCTGCTGGAGAAGACTCCTGTGGGTAAGAACAAGGCCCACTCATAGACTCCACACCAGTCTCACAGTCAAGATTTACGACCTTTTTTTGACCCTTGACTCCATTAAGGATTTGGCAAAGCTGGAGAAGCATGCCGGGGGTTTGTTTTGAGTACAAATCACTTTACACTGCTGTTGTTTCACAGGATACCATGTGCAGGGGCGCAGCAAACATCATGATCTTAATTAAAGTCCCATATTCATCATGAGATAATGCAAATGGAAGTGAAAATTAATTGGGAAACCCGTGTATTACCCATAATAATGCCACAATGATTGACAAAAACCAAAGCAGAACCAGTGTTCACTGAGATTAATCACCCATCTGAAGTTACATACTGTAGTGAGAAGGGAGAGAAATATGATAGAAAATCTAAAATACACTTGGAGAGTAATGTTAAGTGCATGTGGTTAATACTAAATGGGACAAAATGTAAAAACACTGGGAATGACTAGAGATGATTGAAGTCACTGGAATAGCCAATACTAATAGAATATCATCTTACATTATAACACTAGTATTTTTATTTCAAATACATGTTTTACAGACACTCAGGAGGAAGGTTTTATGATGCTGTGAAGGGCTCAAACTAATGATTATTTCTTGATTAATCCATTAATTGGTCTATTAAATGCCAGAAAACAGTGAAGAATCATCTTAAATGTCTTGTTTTGTCAGTCCAAAACCAGTAGTTAGTTTCATGTGATTTAAAACAGTTAAAAGCAGCAAATCTCCATATTTAGGAGGCTGAAAACAGCATTTTCTGCCATTTTTGCATGAAAATGTAATCAACTGTCAAAACAGTTGGTGATTATTTTCTGTCAATCGACTGACTGATTAGTCGACCAAGCGATGCAGCTGTAAGACTGTGTCCAGGGTTAACTGCCTTTGTTACTGAATCAAGTCTAAAAAGAGCGGCCATTCATAGATGCACACATATCTTTAAAATAAATTTTGGATTCATTATTGTTTTTGTCTTTTTGTAATAAGAAACATTCAGCCTCAGTGGAAGTTTTCAATCCTTAAACAGGAATCTACTAATACTTTACAGTAAAATGTGAACTCCTTCTTGCATTGAAGCACAACCAAGTTACTTGGAAAATAAATAAAGCGAAATCTTTCTCTTACAATTGAGAAGTTGAATAAATGTTTAATTCAGTAGGTCAGATGGAGGTTTTGCTGCTGCAGCCCTACCTGGTTGGATCAGCCCAGTAGCTCATGGTGGCAAGTGTCAGCAAACTTTAGTTAGATAGATATTTTGGGCTGTATGTGAATGCCTGCATGCATGCTAAATGTATGACATGTGGATTGTTAACATGGCCCATATGTTACCTCTGCACATGTGAACTTATCAATCTAAGAGGACATCCAATGTATTTAACAGAAACACATCTGAACCTAGGAGAGCGTTGGAAAAGGAATGAGCCATTGTCTTGTGTCACGTGAGGTCTCTGATTAGCAAAACATACAAAAGATTAAAACAGTTCCACCTTAACAATCACTGCTTCTCCCACGCTGTTGGACAGACAAAGGACGTCCCGGAGGGGCTGCGAGCCGAGCTGCTGCTAACGTTAGCTCAGCTTGTTTCTCTGATAACTTAAGATCCAGACGTCCGATGACTAAAATCCTTCATCCGGTTCAAATCTAGAGTTAAAAAGCACCAAGATCTAAACAGTGGATGGTAAAAATGTGGCTTCAGACTGGATCAACAGTCAATGTATGACAGCTTCTGACAGACAACCACAACGCTGACGCAGGCACAAAGGGGATATGACGCCATCGACAGGCGACCGGTGAAACACAGCGTTACCTGAACTGGGTTTAGCTGTCACAACCCTTCCACAACATAACCCTAAGTGCCAGATTTCCCTTAACTAACCCAAAATCTGCTGGGTTTTTATTCATTTTATCAAGGACAGTTTCAGCGCTGTTTTCTCAGCATTAACCTAGCTAGCCACTCTTATTCTGCCTCTGATTGGCTCTGACCGTGACATTTAACCCTTGAGAACTCAGTACCTTGAGGCCTATTTCAGACACTGATTTGTACACAAGCGCCTAGCTTGAAGTTTGGCGAGATGGATTTTGTCTCATGATCTTGTTAATCCAGCTGCCTCGCAAGGTTAAAATGTATATGTATAAAAGAAATAAGAAATAGTCCATGTTTTTAATGCCACAAATTGTTGTTTTTACTCTTCTGTTTATGCACAGGGTTAAATAACCAAGATACAGAATGTCAATGAACTTAGGAGCTGAACTTTAGCGGGTTGGTTGGCAGAGCCAGGTTTACTGTTTCCATCAGCTTCCTATCTTTATGCTAAGCTAGAAGCTAGGCTAACGGTGTTCTCTGTATTAAACACACAGACATGAGATGGATATTGAGCTTCATATCAATTAAGCAATTAAGGGTGTTATCCAAAATGTTGAACTATCAGTTTAAAACAAAGCGTATCCTGTGTCCATAAAATGAAAATACAATAAGAAGCCACAGAATCTGTATATTATACTCAATATAATGTGTTTGTTTATGAACAGACTTTAAATCTTATGTTCATTTGTTCTTACAGCGAGATGCTCCATAAAAGCACCAGGAGAAATCTATTTTCATAACACATGTTGGTCAGTGAACTCTATTGTGACAGTTGGCTAGTCAGAAGGTGTTAAGTTTGAGTCTAACCTAATCCTCTCCAGGGGGTCTCCACTTGTCCATCATAAGAGCACAAGTTGCAGAAACAAGAGATCCTGACCTGTTGGCCATTCTGGCTCAAAGACGCCTTACTTTCTTACCACTAACATGATACAAGGCCCATTAATGGCATAGAATGTCAAGCACGAAAGTACTAACTCATGTCAGTCGGTAATATACATGACAGTTAGAGGGCTACGGTTGGATTATTTACAGCTGTGACAGCTTTAAATTGACTGATTGGAATACATATTTTGTCTTTTTTTATGTCTTAATACAATACACGTCAAGCAAAAGGAGCACTCCTAAAATAAATATACTATAGAGAGGTTGGAGGGGTATCGCTGACTTTAAATTTAGGCCTAAGACATCGGAAATAAACATTAATCTTCCAACTGTATCCTCTAATCAGATGTCTCATTCTGTTCAAAGGTCAGCTTCTAATGAGCTGCTCCACTTTGAAGGTGTGAGATGGAAGAACATGATGGAACTGGATTGACACTTGGCAGACGCGTATGTCCGCCCTTCTTGGTCTTGCTCGATGTTTCTATACTTACCCTTCCTCTACGAGCCTTGAGAGTGGTCACATGACATGTAACTGCCAGCCTTAGTTGCTCAAACTAACCTGATGCCATGACAAAATTTCACAACCAAGCGGCGGCACTTGCCAGGAAAGTCGTGGCATGAATTCTCTGTTTCTACACCGTGTTTTTAGTGCGACTTCCAGGTGCTGAAGTCGCTTTCTTGGCTCTCTGCCTCGTCCTGATGTTTCTAGCATGAAGGAGGGAGTCCAGCTGGAAATAAATCCCCCGTTCTTAATGTTTCACCGTGGTGTCATGAATTCTGCCCCTGGAGATCCTTGACAAGCGGACGGACATTCCCTCACGACCCCCACCGCCAGGAACGTGTCATCTAAGCCTTCGGAAATGTTGCGTCCATTCTGCAGGATTTATTTCAGCTCAGCAGAACCGAGGCATTGGGAGGTTGGGATGGTTTAAGAAGCCAGGTGTTAAGTTTCTTAATGTCACAGTATGTCATTGACTTCATATTGTAAAAGGAGTATGTTGTAGTAAAACACGTAGTTGAACAATGGTTGAGAACTGCTCTGGTTTTGGTCCTTTGAGGTTCCCAGTTTTAGCCATATCAACTTTTTAACTTATAAACCTTGTAAATGCACACAAACACTGGAGATGACTTAAACAGCATCTTGTATCATGTAACAGCTGAGCACAAGAGTAACGCAGTACGTCCTTATTTATAGTCTTCTGCTAATCAAATTATCATCCTACATTTCCTGTGAGACTGTGAACAGTGTTCCTCCCCATTCAGAGCAGTCCAGTGTCGTATCTATTAGTGGAAATAATCTGTTCCTAATTCCTTATTACTAAACTGCAATCACTAATATAACATCCAGTGTTTTAAATCATTTACACATCTCTTCAACAGCTCGTCAGATTGCCATAAAAGTTTCTTTCTTTTTAAGTTTGGCAGTAGCCCGCCGCCATGTTGTTTTATGGTCTGTTTTACTCTAAATGGGACCATCAGTTACTAAATGAACATCATGCTGTATGGAAGAAGACTGAAACTAGAGACTGAGACCAGAAACTCATCAGGAAACTGTTTACTGAGCTCATCAATCAACTGAGAAGTCGACTCATTTCTCCATAAGACTGAATGGTATCTTAACTCATGGTGCTGCCCCCTGCTGGCCATTAGAAAGAATGCAGGTTTAAGACACTTCACAGACCTGGAAGCTCTGTCCACTAATTACACTGTCACTGCCTGCCACCCAGCTGTTTGTAGTCTAGTTGCATTATGGGTACTGTATAATGTAGACACCATACTTTCTGGTTACTATATACTTTTTTATTGTATATAGTGTATATATATTACATATTATATTGTATTTTATTCAGTTTTTCTTTACTCTTTTCCCTCGTGCTGGTGTCCCAATTTGAATTTCCCCTGTGGGGTAACCAATAAAGGAACACCATATCTTTTCTTTATCTTATCTTACTTTCATGATGAAGAAGAAGAAGTCAGCTGCATCGATATTTAAACTTTCCATTGTGAATCTGTAGTCTGTGTGAGTGTTGTAGAAGTGCAATGCTACTCCCTGATAATCTCCAGTTATTTAACTTCTCACCTTACTGCAGTGATGTACAGGTGAACTCTAGGACACTGTGACATTACCAACCAAAGAGGACAGTGAAACACAGCTCTTTAAAGTCACTCTTGAAATGTACGGACCATTGTTGAGAATCTGTCTGTCAATAGATTAAACTGTTACTCACTAAGATGACCCTGTCTTTAACCCTGTCTCTGTTCTCTTTATGACAGTGAAGCTGTTTCCAGTCACCTGTGAGTACATCAAAGGAGAAAAACAGTTCTACTACAGAGCTCAGCAGTTCTACGAGGACGTCTCCGCCTCGGAGGAGGGCATGCTGGGAGACTTTATGGAGATAGGCCACGTTGATCTGGAGGGTTCCCGGCAGTTTCTGAAGAGGTTTGTGGTGAGTCACGAGATACTGACTCACCTTCAGATTCACAGCAGTTCAAAGGCTCAATCAGATCTAAACTCATACAGTAACATTTGACGCGCTGCATCCATCACTGTGACATACTGTACAGCACTGTATTGATTTACACTGCTGCAGTTATCTCTGAATATACATGTCAGAGTCTATTTTGGGCTAGGAGTTCGTCATCCTGACTGTAAAGAGAATTCCATCTTGTTTCACGTGGGAGGAGGCCTCAGTGCAGTTTCTAATAGTAGCACAGACTTGATGCCAGCCCCATAAACACCCAGACAGAACAAACCGAGCCAACAGCTGTTAATCACTTTGTGCCATGGTCATTTTTTACTAGCACTAATTTGTTTACAGCGCAGATATTTTCAGCTGGTATTGTTTTCACCTTGTGAGTCTGTGTGTGTGTGTGTGTGTGTGTGTGTGTGTGTGTGTGTGTGTGTGTGTGTGTGTGGAGACACCTACTGTAGCAAGAACTACCACTCAGGCCAGTTTGAGTTCCTTTTCAGGTTTTGCTAACTTCTGATGCCGTCACAAACCATTACAGGTGTGTAGTTGAGATCAAAATTAAGGTGTGTTAAGGTGCTTGGTGTGTGTGAGTGTGGTCCGACCCACGAGTACATGTCATAATGTAGAAATGACTATGGAGTGAGAACGTCAGCATGCAGACGGACTAGTGTGACGATTGGATGTAATTCTTGGTCTTTTTGGCTGAGATATATCATCAGGGTTCCCACTCTCTTTAGGAAATAATTTTCCAGGACTTTTTCTTGACAATACACAACAGAACATTCTCACAAATGGTCACATAACTTATATTTATATGACCATCTACAGCATTTAAACTGGGCCTCTGAGAATTCAGCTCGTGCCTCTAGAAAGACTTGACAGCAAAAAGGCCGCAGTGAGTCGTTTCCGCTCTGTGTCGAGTGTGAACAGCTATGGACGGAGATACGAGCCAAAAATGAAAAAAGAGGGCATTTTTCCACTTGGCTCTGCATCTGATAAACCAGCTTTAAAGAGTTGTACCGTGCATTACAATACAACATAAATTAAACATATTCAACATAAATTATTTCCACAATATTTGGTCATTTTAATCAATTTCCAGGTGTTCCCATGACTAGTCTCTAAATCTCCAGGTTTCTCAGGATGCGTGTGAAGTGCCATAAATTGCAAGTTTGTCGATAACTGACCTAAAGATATGCATATTAAAAGAAAAGTTTGACATTTGGGGAATTTTGGGAACCTATTAGCTTTAAGTCAAGAGTTAGATGAGAAGATAACTCTTGCTAAGTATGAAGCTACTGGCAGCAAGACTAGAAACAGCTTGCCTTATTATAAAATCTACAATTTACAAGCACCTCAAGCTCACTAATGAATGCATTATAATTCATAAAAAAAATTTAAAAAAACATGTAAACATGACAATTTGCTGTTTTCTGTACTATTTCTTGGTCTGAACCATTAACTTCCTGGAGTGCAAGCTGGTTGCCTGGTATCTGGTCTTGGCCAAGACTCTAACACAAACCCCTGTAAAATGGTGAATTATTGTTACCATAATGGGTTAATCAGTGAGCTTTAGAGGTGCTGTTAGGCAGATTTTGTTTCCTTTGGACAGAGCCAAGCTGGCTATTTTCACCCTGTTCTCTTTAAGTTAACCTGCTGCTGGCAGCAGTTTCATATTATGCAAATCTCTGCAAAAACAAAGTAAATACAATACAAAGTCAAACCTTTCCTTTAAAATATATCATCACCTTCTTACACTCATACATATATACATACAAACTTCAGTGTCGAGCGTCCAAGTGCTAATCAGGGGAATGGGTTTGGCCCAGAGTCCGGGTTATTTAGAGGATCAGTTTTACAGGAACTCTAATTATAAACTGCTAAGATTGGATGCTTTAAAGGAACGGCACACAGCTAAGTGGCTACTCGTGCACTGGTGCTAATGTAAACACAACAAACACTGATTTAACAGAGCTCAGCTACAGTGTTCACCACTACCGGATAACACAGTACAGTACATTGCCGAGGCCATGAGAGCATGATAAGTTACAGTATACTTAGAATACAGTTTGTCAAGATAACATTAACTTGGATCCTTATTAGTATTTCTACAACTGCTCATAATAATTCACCACTGAAAATGTACTTTGTAAAAAGGCTAAAAGAAAGCCCATACAGTAAGGGTTAGGGTTATATTGTGTTTAGTTTTAGGGTTGTGCTGAATTAGAGTACTGGCACCTTTTTTGGTCAAACTCAGGCAGTGCTTCAAGAGTCACATGGTAGTTAACTTCCATACAAGAACAAAGAGTAAATATAAGTGAAATGGTAAACCCCATACAATCTTCGACTGTATCTGACTTTTTTGGGTATTCAACATTAGAACTTTGACTTTGGTTTAGCACCACAAACAAAATACTGGGAAGGCGCATCCTTTCAAAGATCTGAATGCTAAAAACTGTGGGGAACTTTTTTCGGCTTCTAAAGTTTGAGAACCACTATTTTAAAGTGGTGTAAGACTAAAAGAACTGCATTTAGTGCTCTAGATATAGTTGCTTCTGAGTTAAAGTCAGTGACGTTTGCTTCAAGTTGGAGTTTTTGCTTTTTTGTGTGCTTCTAATGTCCAGAAATGACAATTTAACTCCTCACTTAAATGCAATGACCGTGAATTAAACCATAACGTCCGCCAAATCTTCTACAAATTTGCGCTCAGCAACACATCATCCTCTTCCAAAATCTCCCCCCTGGCTGTGAACTAGCTCCTGTTCAAACCTGACATCTCCATTAAAAACCCAAGTGTGGTAGGAAAAGATTTAGAACACATCCAGATTAAACTGAGCTACATGCGCACAGAGCAATATGGCAGTAATTCACAGAAACCAGGAAGCCTCCTGTAACAAGCACAGAGCTCCTCAGGGCCCCATCTTTCATACAATCACACACTGGGGCCCCTGATGCGGAGGGGTTGGAGTGAGGTCAGAATACCAAATGAAAAGGAAGAAAAACCAGCATGATTCAAGTGAGGTGACTTTTTGTTCCCTCGCGGTAAAGTTCATAGTTTCGTTGCCCTGAAGGAACTGAGGTCTTCTTGTTTGTGCTGTCGGTGCTTTTGAGGTACAGAGGCCTGACATCTGGAAACACAGAAAATAAAGAATAGACTCCTCTATGACTTATAGAAATGGTAATAACATGCTGCAGGAAAACTGACATTTTGTTTTCTGTGAAGCATAAATCCAGCTCTTCTTTTTATGGTTGCCTCAGTTTTATTACAAACGACCTTCAATTGAGTTGACTTTATCCTTTTAGAAAAACCTCTAAATAAGGTTGAATTTTGCTTCAGTTATGAACTATTCACCCCTTTTTTTCTCCGGCAGGGTCCCGGTAAGGCCACAGGTACACACTGTGCCCTGGACTGTGGCTGCGGGATCGGCCGTGTGTCCAAAGGCGTCCTCCTTCCTGTGTTTGAGAAAATGGAGATGGCGGACATGATGGAGCACTTCCTGCTCCACGCACATGAGGAGTACCTTGGCGACGATGCTGACCGCATCGAGACCTACTACTGCTACAACCTGCAGGAGTTCACGCCTCCAAAAAACAAGTACGACGTCATCTGGATGCAGTGGGTGGCATGTAAGTATGAGAAGGATCTCAATTTATAGCCTGTTCATTATTATATAGAGACATTTTAATTGTCATCCATTCTTGAAGTTAACTTGTACACCTGTGAAATGTTGAGTTAATGAAGAGAGATTCTCCTGTCACTGTTCGGTCTCATTTCAACCCTCCCACCAGATGAAATGTTGGTGATGGACAGCAAAACCGGATTATATTCAATGCATTTAGTAAATTAGTGATTCATTGCTGTTTGGGAAAGATTGTGGTTATTGTAAATAAACTATAGTCATTGTTGATTCTGGTCTGGTGATAGTGAAGTTTCAAAGTTGGTTCAACTGGTGAACTGGTCAACTTTTCCACAAGTTAGAGAACCATTATAGAGCCACGTCATTATGTCACTGTATGTGCAACATAAGCTATTGTTACGAAGCTTACACTAGCTCTCTGCTAACATTACCTGAGCAAGCATAGTGACTAATTCCTCACATCAATGTTGCGTTGGTAATATAAATATTGTTTTCGGTGTTCCTAACATTAATGTTAACTTTTACTTTATTATTGTTTGCATATTTCTCTGTTTCTCTACGTCACTGTAAAAGAGGGACACCTCAATGATTTTCGAGACTTAAATAAAGGTCATTATTTGAATTCAATTGAAAAGGTTCTAGGTTGAAACATGAAGAACTGGCTCAAGATTAGATCCAAACCAGTCCTGAAACTGCTGGGGGAAAAGGGATATGAGGTTAGGGAAATATTACGGTTAAAAACAAAAGACTGGCGTAAGTTGGATCTGCAACATGCCCATCGACCGCCCTGAACGTCTACTGATTGGCATTGGGTGGACATTGCTGCAGAGTCGTGTTAATGTAATTTAAATGGAAAAAAGCATCTTTTTTTTAAGTGAGACTACAGGTATCTCAGTTGTGGTTGCTTGGTTTTTTTGCCTTCATTCCTTAATCCATTTTTCTCTTCAGGCCACCTAACAGACAAGGACCTGATGAACTTCCTGATTCGCTGTAAGAAGAGTCTGCGTCCAAACGGTGTCATCATAATTAAAGACAATATGGCGCGACAGGGCTGCAAGCTGGACCCTATCGACAGCAGTATCAGCCGCCACCTGGACATCATGAAAAACATCATCGCCAAGGCCGGCCTGGAGATCCTGGCTATTGAGAAGCAGGAAGGTTTCCCTGAGATCATCATTCCTGTCTGGATGATTGCTATGAAATAGAAGTGACATTTTTACCGTGAAGAGATTCAGGTTGTTATTGCTCAATTTGACAGAAACTAAAAGGAAAATCCAACCTAAAGCTGAATTCACATGTTATTCCACTTCCAAGTCTAGATTTGTTATCAAGTCAGTGTCTGGCATTCCTGATTTGTGTAAACACATCCTTCTTAAAATGAATTAAAAACAGCAAAAAGCACCTTTTCGGGTCCAATTTAGACACTTGATTAAGTCTTTGAAAACTACAACACAGCAAATAATCTTGTCATCTGGATATAAATCCTGAAGCGGCGGTGTGGATGGCGTGATGGCACCCAGGGCGATTTTATGGAGACAGGAGTTCTCTTTCTGTTCAGCACAGAATAGAAATAAAGCTTTTATGTAGACATGAAACTTCTACAGAAGCACTCTGACTGTAATTTACAGTCAGCCGGCCACCTCCAGGTTTTGTATCTTGATGACATTAAAGATAGACCCTCTGAAATGTAACTGCGGGAGAAGCTTGTTCCTGTCTGAACCACGACGATCATTGGAATAACATGTGCAGTCAGATTTACTGTTGGAGTTAATTATTTCTATCCGTTCTTGATTAAATCTAACATGTTACAGCACCAACAATATTGTACCAAGATTTGTAAAACTTTATTGTTGTTTTTTTTCCAGTTACGATTAACATGTGAGCTGTATCTGGATATGTAATCTGGAGGATGACATCTGATCAGATAGCATTAGCTGCTAGCACAACACACCCCAATCTCTGACTGAACTGTCTCTGGTTGAATTGCATTGTTGGTAAAATCGGTGCCAGGTTTAGACAAGGAAGAAGAATGCAAGGCATAAAAAAGACCTGGGCCTTCACGGATTAAACATTTATAATACAAAGAGTCATAATTCACCTCGTTTGCAGTTTGGGGTCTATTGAGAAAATGCTTTTTCAGCCACAGGGGATATTGTTGCAATTCTGGAGCAAATTTTCTTAAGACTATGGCCACAGATTGCGTTTACACTAGACCACATGTAGTTGGGGTCTGGCTGATCTGAGTCCAGTTGGATCCAGCTAGCAGACACTACAAACCTCCAAACTGCTTGTACATGAAGTTACGGTGGCTGAGGAAGATAATAAACCATAGAAGATCAAAAATAAAATAAAATAAATGAAACAAATTAAAAAAATTACCTTTCAAACACGTACATTTAATGTAGACTAAAACTTGAAAACTGTATGTTGAGATAAATGTCCTTATGTCCTTCCTTCAGATTTCTTCATGTTTGTGCTGCAGCCGGATATACTTGATGCTCTGTGCATTTACATCTGCATTAACCTTTCTGTTCCAGATACAGATCACGTGCTAACAGCAGGTGGAGATATGCTCTTAAAGTCACCTTTCAGTACAGCATATAGTTCACTTTTTATTGCAGTAGAAATTATGTTCATTCAGTGCAGGTTTGTCAGGTGTAAATATTAATTTAGTTTTTTATGTATGTTTTATACTTTTGCTTGTAATATTGCACAATAATAGACATTTTTATATTGATTTTCTGTGCAATTAATTCTGTGTAGTGCTTAAACTTAGACTTCCACTTTCCAGTCAGTACATGTTTGTGCAGCTTATTGTATATTTATTTAAATTCTGCTGAAGAGGTTTAGTTGCATTGTTTATCAAAAATAAAAATGCCAAACTCAGAAAGCATATGGATGCAGTTTTATGATTTTTCTTTTCATATTTAAAGTTTTTCATCCCGTTCCAAACAAAGGCAAATAGGATTAGAGATGGGTAATCACCGTTTGCTATTACAATCAAGGCTGGAACATAAATGCTGACCAATTTTCCTTAAATATTCCTACAGTACAACCCGTGCACACCCCTGACAGTGACCGCGCTGCAATCTTCCAGAGTGGGCTCAAAACACACGAGATAATTGAGATCCTCTCAGATCGTTAAGTATTATTACTATTATTATTTTTTTTTCAGGCTAACAGTAGAAGCAGCTCATTGTTTTGGGCTAATGACTTTCAGCTGGGCCCCTGAGGTGGATGGTGGGCTTGATTATTTCCTGGTTTTGACAGACAGTGCCTGCTTTCATATCTGCCCTGGCTTCATTTCAAGCCTGTCAGATGTTGTCTGCATAAAACACATCCAGGAGTCGCCTCAAATATTCAGCATTTGCGTGCGTAAGAGCTCGACGGGAGTGGTGCGGAGTTGTTCCTCCCTGAGCTTTTTATGAAAGGATAGTTTGTCAATGAGCAGACTGGCACTGAGAAAGTACAAAATCATCAAAGTGTTGAAGGCGCGATGGCGTGAGATGATCTCCACGGCATGCTTCTCTCGTCAGAATGACTCTTTTGAGATGTGAATACACCCAACACATTTTCCACATCCCGTATGAATTAAAGATCAAAATGCCCCAAAGTTAAACTCGTAGGTATTTTTTTTCTCTCCCCCAGCAAATAGCAGCCAAATGTGCTGTCACCTTTTCAGGAGTGGTTAGCGTCGCTGACAGTCAAGGCTATCATTTCTAATACTTCTCAATGTCTTCTGCAGCCGCTCGGCAGCAGTTTGAATACATTAGCTGGAGTAACACTAATTTGTCCAGTCACGTCAGCAGAGCAGAGTTTTGGGCCTGATTCCAGACTGAGTATATCTCAGACAGCTCGTAGAGACAGGAGGAAGACAGAGACCACAGGGGGATGAAGTGACCAACACGTATTCAGGGCAAGTGTGATCGCCTCAACGTGCAAAGTACTGCTGTTCAACTTAAAGTCAGAGCTCCAACTCTATAAGAAAATAGGTTTCATCTCACACAGACTGTAAACACCAACAATATCGCAAACGACTCTGTCTAAAAAGGTGAACATTTCAGATGATGTTCAACGTTTACTTGGTTCAGGAAAAATCATAGTTTGGATTAAAATACAACCCGGTATCACGCCAAAGCACGTGATACACACCGGACAGTTATCAGAGAAACAAGCTGAGCTAACACTAGCAGCAGCTCAGCTCGCAGCCCCGAAGGAACGTTCTCCGTCGAATTTTCACCCTGTTTATCTTGTGTCTGGCCTTTAGTTCACTTTCAGATCAGCTTCTCATGTTTAGAGTCTTCCACCAAGAGACAGAAAAATATGATTTCTACAAACCTAAGTTGAAACATAACTACAGTAATGGTCCTAATATCTTCTGTTTAGGAACATTGAACACATCATCAAAACAACTGACTTTTTATCCAGTTTTAGCCACATTTACACTTTTTAGATGATTATCTTTTTAAACAGCTCCCACTCTTTGACAATACATAACAGCACTTGATCATCATCGGTGGTCAGCCATTTAAGGGACACTTTGCACTAGCTTGCTTTCGTAGCATGCTTTGCTGTTCTCACCACAGTTGATATTTCTGCTTTTTAAATTAACAACAGTTTTCTTCTAACTGTGCCATTGATAATCCCACATTACTTCACAATATCATCAAACTTTCTCTTTTATAATTGTTTCGATGTGAGAGATGTTAATACCCGTGGTGTCGTTCAGAATGCGACCAAGGATACAACCCCGCTCTCTGTGGTGGTTGGTGGGAATTTTGCCCTTACAGTATGTGCCCTAACTCTTTTAATATAAATACTCATCTTAATGAACCTTTCCTCTTGTATCATCCTCTAGACCAACTTTGTCAAGCGCCTTTACAAGTAAAACAAATTTAAAAAATGTATGTCGTTTTTTTCTCATTGTGGGGTGTTATGAACACTGCAGCCTCTAGGGGGTGCTAACAGTGCTTTAGCCTCTTAGTCTTTACTCTTGTTGTGAAAATGCAGTGGTCACACTGCAGCTTCCACCCACATGTGAAGATAGTAAACACCCCCAGGAAGCAGCCGAGGGGTCATATTCCTGCGAAGAGCCACCAGCTCAGACAGCCTGAGCTTTCATCCCGAACAGACCGAATCTTTGTGGAATCTGCAGTCGAGAGAAACCTCAGTCAGTCTCTGGAGCCAGGATGGTTTCAACAAGACAGAGAGAGGAGCCTAACCTCCAGTCCCTGGGAGAATCCATACCAGAGGAATGTGCTTTCTCTTCATCTCCAGTTCTCATAGTAAATCATGTCACCGAAAAAAAAAAAAAAAAAAACTACGATGATTTTTGGGCTGCTTTTCCTTTGGCTGCCCGTTCAGGGTTTTAACTCTCCCAGCATGTCGTCGAGGGTCTGAGGGTGGTTTTTTTGCCACACTCAGCTCTCCTCAGCTCAAAGGGCAGGGATTAGTTACACAGACTTTTTATAGGCCCGGCCCTGAACATGTAATATTTCACCCGGCAATGTGGGTTTGGAGCCTGGATCAGGTGCTGCTGACTGTAAGGGTTTAATCTCTGAGCCAAACAAAGGATGACAAATGATGGCCGCCTGTAAGAGCACGTACTGTAGGTCCTACCTTCAGTTTAACATACCCTAAGATTTCTAAAGCTGAAAATAAACTGTGGAATACCAAGAGGAGGAATCATTTGTCTTCCCAAAAATGACCTTCCTCCTGAGCAGGAAAGCATTGCTCACAACAACAAAATAAGGAGGAATTTCTTCCCATCTGGAGCTGGCGCGAGAGAAGTGTGATTCACTGTGACTGTGAGGGAGCAATGCTGGGCCAGTGTGCTCTTGGCTATATGTGCATACACTGAGGCTTGCACACTGTAAAAGGCTGGGCTAACGTTTCTGCATTGTACATCTGTGTATGTGTGGATTTATGTCAAATATATTTCACAACACAAACATTTTGAAAAAAATAAATTGAATAAAAAAATGTTCACTGACAGTAAAAGGCCAAAAGTATGCCGGCACTACAGTTCATATGCTTTTGGTGCTTTTGGTCTTGGTTTGTTTTTCCTGGACTCCTTGGTTCCAATAAAGGTCTTCTTAATGATACAGCATGGTTATGGTCAGGAAAATATTGTGTTTAGGGCAAATAATAAATTGGTTAAGGTATGGGTTGGGGTTAGGCAACTAAAGGGAAGAAAAAATGTCTCTGGGGAGAATTTTCCTTTTTATCTTAGTCACCTGGAGGGTCGTGTCCCTGTTTGTGTTTGATTGACAGCAGCTGGCAGGCTGCCAGAATGCCGATGTTAAACCGTGGGGGAACGAGAAAATGCTGGTGTTACACTGTAGGGATTGAGAGAGGGTTGGACGTAGGGAACACGAGAGTGTGTGGTCATATTTTTAAGTTAAATAAGAAAGAGATTGTCAGATGTGGGTTGTTCTGAGTGGCTGCTGGGTGTGACTGTGCTGCTCTGATACAGTGCTTTATGCAAGATTTGACTGGCTGTATTGAGCAGATATGTATGCTGGCAGACAAAAAATGCAATGCCCTATTGAAATTGCAGGGGCTATTATTATTATTAATACCAAATTAATCACATTTTTGGAGGCCTTACCATGCCCCAAACCCCAAACCAAACTCCTCCTGGGGAATTTATTGGATCAACTTCAAATTTGGTCAGTTCAATCTAAAGACCATCACGATTAAAAGTTGTGTTATTAGTGACTGTATGTCGAAGGGCGTGTCCGTGGCATGGCATAGAATTACCATATGTTGCCATGAAACAGGAAGTTGTCATAACTAAAGTGTAGGGCACCCAATCTCTATTGGGTGCTGAAACAGGGGCTTACTCTGTTCACTCCATGCAGTACCGGTGGGAATGGTGTACCCTCCTTCAACCTTGTGGAAAATCAAACAAGACACTGTAATAATGCCACGACAGCTTGGTGCAATCAAAATTAAAATAAAAGCAGCCAGATTTTTTACTTTTCATGGGCAGGCAAACAGGGCTAAAAGGTCCACAAACCCCTTGAACTCATCATTTTCCCTGAGTTTTCCAGACTCCTTGCAGATAGTCCAGAGGCCCTCTGGTTTTTCTGATGGTTCCTAGCCTGTGTCTCTGAAAAGAGGCTGTGGTAATGTGGGAATGGCCTGGGGAATGGGTGTGATCTGGGATCCTGGGAGACTAATCACAAGTGTAGTGGCTGGGACAACACCAGACTTCAGCAGGTATTGAACAGCTATTTTCTCAGGATTGTCCTCATAATGCACAAGTTATGTGCTTTTAACTAAAGGCTTCCATGGAGAGGAAAACCAATGAGTTAAATCTGTTTTTGGCAGACTTTTGTGAGGATGAAGGAATCAGAACCATCATCATTAGTAGTAATTTCAACTAGTACAGTTGTTGCTATTATTGTTGCTGTGCACCTTTGTCTCTGTCCTCCTCTCTTTACCACCCATCCTCTCTACCCCTCTAACCCCAACTGGTTGAGGCAGATGGCCACCCACCTAGATTCGGGGTCTGTCCGAGGTTTCTGTCTCCAAAAAGGAAGTTTTTCCTTGCCCTTGTTGCCAAGTGCTTGCTCATGGTGGGAACTGTTGGGTCTCTATAAGGAGTACCAAATCGGTACTCTTGACTATGTGATTCCTGGTAGTGGGGTATTGTGTTGGTGCTCTCCTCTGATTTTTGTGTTGTAGGGAAAAAAAGGCCTTGATATAGATTTGATCGTAGCAATTTCCAAGTCAGCACTGTTGTGGGAATGTTCAGGCTCCTGAATTCAAGGGTATTGACTGGAGACTTACCAAACATACATGTTTCGATGGTGGGGGAAACCTGTACAGATATGGACAGAGCATGCAAACTCCACTCAGAAAGGCCCTGCCCCAACCAGAATTTAA